CGTCATGACCGTGACGTAGTATTGGAACAACCTGCAGGTGACGGCTGGGGATTCACTGGCCGCACCAAGGTTTTGATGGATAGCCACCAAGGTCATGAGCCCATTACAATGACTCCGCTTTCTGAAAGAAACAATGCTTGCAGCCCATTCTTGATACGAAGCGCATGATTCTGTATGATGTGTACATGACATCTACCATCATATACCCAAATCCGTGTCGAGCAGCCTTGCGTTTATACAAAATCCTCCAATAAGTTTTGGGCATTGCCCATGTCGCGTTTGGGTGTTTGGTTCTTGAAAGAGCTTTCTCGACCAAGTGAGCAGCTACCATTGGCAATCCCCTGCTGATGGCTGTTGGTTGACAATGCCCTCAATCATCATTCAGTGGTCTAGTACTCAAAATACCCTCTGGTAAACTAACATAGCTATGGAAAATCACCATTTTTCAATGGGTAAATCCACTATAAATGGCCAATTTCAATAGCTATGTAACAAATTACCAGAGGGTAACTAATCTGCAGACCAATGTTGCCAGGTCGGAGTCTGATTTTCTAAATCCATGTCTTGGTGCCAGGTAGGTAGAACCAGCACCTTGTTTTGATATGTTTTGATGGATAAATAAAAAATAACGGCAATTATATCCGGGGTCCCCACAACATGTTTCTTCATTTTTCCAGGATTGATGATGCTTACCAACCGTAGTGTTCAGGTGTGCGAAGTTTCTATCCAGCATAGCTAATCTTAGATATCCTACAAAAAAATAGCAGTCAGCTGGATAGCTGAGTAGCATATATATATAATATATAATATAATATAATATATATATAATATATAATATAATATAATATATATATAATATATAATATACTATATATATATATTATATATTATGTATATATTATATATAATATATATAATATATATATATTATATTATATATACATTATATATATATATATATATACCTCCATCAAAATGGTAAATAAAAAAGAAGCATGCCACTCAACTACCTCTCACCAGTCAGTTTACCCCTTCCTTTGGTGGTTTTGTCGCCACATCTTCGCGGAACTTCCCATGTTTGGTGGCACCACCAAGGTTTTTTCCCACCTTTTTTGGGGTTGCTATGAGTTTGGCGAATCTCAGTAATACCCTGCAGGAAAATCATGAAAAATCTGTATTTGGTTCCTATCCATGTCTGCAAGTGACTTGCAAAGCTACTCAGCCAGAGCACCTCAGAATATCTCAGAATGACCTCAAGGCCGATGCCGGCAATTTTTGGACTTCCCCCATCTGAAAAATCCCACCAGTCCTCCATGGATTGCGTCATGGGCATCTTAACCCGCAGCTGTAGAGCATGATGGCCTGAGCACCCGAAAAAATGGAAATCACCGGGCCCCATTTTTGGGTGTCCTAAGTCATGGGGGTACCCCTAGTTATCCATTTTTGGGACTGGGATTTTCCATTCTAGCCATTTTTGGGGATCCCCCATGGAAACCTCCATATCTAAAGAAACCAGCTCCATCCAGCTCCTTTCGTGATCTTTTGCTGTGGACCCTCTTCAAACGTCGATGTTTAATTTTTTTGAAGAGGGAAAGGACACAGTTCGTCCCTAAAAAATCCAGAAACATACTCCGGAAACCAAACCAAGTTTTCATCGGCGGGAACCGCCTCAACAGCCCCCAGCCCCATCCCATCTCATTTTACTGTTTGGTCAAAAGGTATCGCTATGATTGTCTTAATCCCAAATAAACATCCAGTAGGATAACCCCCTAAGCCATAAGCAATCAACAGTTTACTATCATACTACAGTATCTGTATTGGCTCAAATAGATGTTTCCGAAGTCATGGGGGTATCCGCAAATCATCCAAGTGATGGATGACCATGACTTAGTATTGGAACAACAATGGTGACGACTGCGGATCCCCCATTTTAAGAAACCCCCAAATGGGGTCTCTCCCCATGTCTCCCCAACCCCCAAGAGAATCCAAGAGAATACATCGCCTTCTTCGAAGGCGTACTCCACATCGGTTGTCGCCATCAGGACAGCTAAATCCTTATATATTTCACATGACATGGCTGGCTGGAAAAGGATAATTATGGGATGATTGTGGAATATATTGAGATATATTGGGATGATTTTGCAATATACCATCCGGTAATCAGACATGGCCAGAAATCCCTTTTCTCAATGGAGGTTTCTACCTGGGTAGCCATCATCGAACAACAAATGGTGGATTTTTGCCATGGCCAGCCATGTGTGATTACTGGAGGGTAGTTTTTGAGTGGAAAAACATCGAAAAAAACCTGCTTAAAATCGCTGGAACTGACCATCCAAAGGTAGTCAGTGTACTATATTTTTCCACTCAAAACCACTTCTGGAACTGAGAACATCCAGATTGAAGGCGCCGCTCAAGAGTTTGTCTCTGCGAGCCAATAAGTTTGTTGCGGCAACAACGGGGTCTTCGGGAAGCCAATTCCCATCTTTGAGGAGTTTGCAGTGTTGAAGTACTGATATCACTCCATCATAAACTTATTGAACAGGGAAAAACGGGAAAAACTGAACAACTGGTGCCCTCCCCGCAGTTATAGGTTGGTTTATAGCCGTCAACTGATGGGAAATCCTCGAACTCAACGGAACATTGTCATGGAACAAACTAAATGGTGGATTTTACAGCAAACCATTACCCAAGGGTAGCTCTGAGTATCACAAATAAAACACTTTAAATATGTATATATATATATACACCATTAAATACACGTCATTAAGTCTATATTTATATACATTATATATATATAGCATTCACTATGTGTACAAAGATACAATTCATTTGGCTAACGAACTGGGGCACCACTTCGTTAGCTGCTTTGTAGCTTTTCTGCCCACATCTCCCACATGGAGTTGCCACTAAAACAGTGGCGAATTGAGGGGATAGTATCTTAAGTAATTACAAGGACTATAGCATATTATAGCTATCTGTAAATTACGAGGTATAAATGCTTTGTCCATCTTTTTGGGGGTTGTGTCATGTACCCAAACAACATCCCAATCCAAATTGCCAGATTGGTGATAATCATCCCCACTTTTCCGCAGAAACTTACATGGATATCTACCGAAAAAGAGGGTGATCATACCCATGTCAGGATCTCTATGCAGTTCTCCCTGGTTGGAGCACCTTCCCAAGCCATGAAATAAAAAACACCAGACCTTTTGATCCCGCAGAACCAGCGAATTTCTGGAAATCTCGGAGCGGGTCCACACGGTGCGGTGGGGGTATCATGTTCATAGTCCATAGTTCCTCCTCTAGTGTAGACCTGGCAAAATCTATGTCATATGCGAAACACAACTGGTTGGTGCTGCAATTTCACCATCTTGAAAAATATGAGTTCGTCAATGGGGTTGGGATGACATCCCATATATGAAATGGAAAATAAAATTCATGTTTAAAACCACCAACCAGATAATTTAATAATAATAAACCATTCCATCAACAAAGCATTTCGGGGTCATTGTGCATCATCCCCAGCAAATATCCCAAAATTCCATCAACAAACCTATTTTTTGGGCATGGTTTACTATTGGGTTTACCACATTACAAAGTTTTGTAGCACATCTGTGGATTTTTCACCATGTAATTTTATCCCAATCGGTTTAAACTTGCAGCATATCATATTTCCTGACAAACAGCATTCCGCTGAGCCGACTCGAATTGGAACAACCATACCTCGATTCCAAGATCTTGGCAGTAGCAGGTACACTTTATCCAGCAATTCTGTAGATTCAAGATTTAAACATCAGAGATATATTTTTCTGCATTGATAGCAAGTATATATATATATAATTATATATATATAATTATATATACTTGCAGTACATATCATATCCTCAAATAATATATCTGTCTGTTTCAACTGACTGTTGTCTGGGGTCGAAAATGCTGTGCAGTATATGCGGGGCTCTCAACGGGAAGCGAGCATCATTTTTTATGTGATACTGCAAAATCGAATCGATGGATGTCTTGATGGCATGGGGATTCACAACATCAACCGCAAAACAGCCGAAATTTCGTGTGATTTCGGGTTCATTCGGGATAATGCTATGTTTTGTTCCTGCCACCAGCCGTAGGGCCGCTTGACCCTCGCTTGCAAGCCGCAAGTCAAAGTGTTGAGACACTAACCAGCTAGCCGCTACACATGGTGACGAACTGTACAAGACCAGGTGTGCGAATCAGTCTCTGACTTCGTCAGATTTCGAAAACAGCCACAGACGCCCTAAAGGATCATGGTGGAAGCTTTGATCCAGTAGCCAGGATGCTCACATCGAAATAGCTGGTAAGCAGTGGATGTTCATCCCCCATTAAAAAAAAGTAATGGCAATTGATCCATAGCCACATAAGCCAACATGCTCTACATGCCAATAGGAAAATCCACCAGTTTTAGATTGTTTTTCAGAGCCATTCATAGCTATTGATCCATAGCATTGATATTTGAAACACTCAACAAGTACTTGGTGTTCCTGAAAGGCACATCGAGAGCTTTCATAATCTGGAAGGAGGGTCCCAAATTCCCAAATAACATGATATGAGTCCATGACAGCACCTGTGGAAAGTTCAAGCATGTTTTAAACCAAAGTCATGTTCAAAGAACGATGTCCCAAAGAACGGCAGTTTCCAAAATGCTTCTGACTTTTTAAGGACCACTGAAATCCACATGTCTGCTGACCTAAACTGACATGCTGGAGGTGTTTTTTTATCCTTATGTTCATCCAGCTGCAGATTCTCTGCTTATTGGAAATGGACATGTTCCATTGCCATCTTGTCAATGGGAATTTCAGGATCCTAAAATGGAGGTACTGTACCATATAAGGCCATATTTTGTGGGGATATTCCCTTACATAGGCCTTACATAGGCCTTATATATGGTAGGTACCTCCAATTTAGGTTCCTAAAATAGCCATTGATCTTAGGTTTCCATTGCGGCTCTAAGCTGCACAAATCTTCCAAGACAGTGGACAAAACAAAAACGTTCACCTCCTTTGGAGCGTGGCCATGGCGCAAAACGCAACAGGCGACGACTCAGCACCGACTCACACTGTTGTCGTGAAGAACCTGGGTGACATTGATTCAATAGATACCACCAGGGAAACAACTAGCTTTGTTGATGTATATAGATATATATAAATACACGTTATAAAATTAAAAACATAAACCTACCACCAAATTCAGATGGAAAAAAAAACATATGTTTGGTGGTATTTGCAACGTTTTGGAAGGGTGCTTCATTGTGGTATCTTATTCAAGTGTGTCTACGTGTGTGTATATATATATATATGTATGAATTTATATGTATACTCATGATGTCTAGATACACATTGTGTCTCTTTATATAATATGGTTTAAAAATAGATAGCTTGATGAAACACGCCTACCACATTTAGAATATGTAAATGTATATTATACATTTAGATTGTGACTCTTTATATATATATGATTATATATGTGCCAATATGTACATATATCTGTTCTATATATGTATACATACTGCGCATATCTCTGATATGCATAGCTGACACATCTCTGATATGTATGGCATATCTCTACGGCTTCGTGTTTACAAATGGGGGTCCGCCATTTTCCGACGAACCCAGCGCCACATGGTCAAACTGTAGCCTGAAAAAATGACGTTTTAGGTACTGCATTAACCCATGACAAGCTCATAAATGTTAATGGATTTTGAAGCTGACATCGATGAAACTAGACATGGTCATTACAGTGGCCCCTTGAGAAAGATGCCGAACAGGTCCGATTTATCACTAGTTTTTAGAATCGGATTTTGCAATGTTTCACCAGAGCACTTTTTTTTGTGAAATTCACAAGAATCGGATTTGACATGTTTCAATCTTTTTGAGGCTTACTATATACACCATAGTTATGAAAAATGGTGCATTTATAGATAGTTTACCTACCAAGAAAGGGTGATTTTCCATGCTCACCAGTAGCTATAAATGAGCAAAGGCTACTTGGGGGTGCAGTTTCACATGTAATTGAATCTACAACCATAGTTATAGGATGTTATAGGATATTATAGGGGCCCTTCCAACTTCAGCTTATTACCATGGTCCAAAGTCAGCAAAGTCAGCCCCAGCAAGGTGCCCAGTTCAAAGCACCGGTGCCCGTTCGACCAACGACCTACGCATCCTTGGCCGCCTGCTGCAAGACCTCTGGCTGCTGGAACATGTGCCTTAAAATATGATTTAAAGCAACACAGATTTGGCTTTCACCAAGCTTTGGAACCATTCAGCATTCAAAACCATACAAACCACCAACTGAATTCCTTATGAAATGATGGTTTTTGAATGGAAAAATGACATGATTTGACTTCACCAACGGCCATCCCAGGGTCGCCTGCAGGTTCTGCGAATCCAGTCCCGGCAGACCGTTGGCGCCGGGCACCACGTCTTGCGCCATGAAGAGCCGTGGATCTGATGCCTGTTCGGGCGATGCCGGGCGTGCCGAAGCCTGGAATTAGGGTAGATGTTAGATTAACTACATTGATATTAATCTATATGGAATAATATGGATATATAACATAGATTAATATGTAGACATATTTAATGATTATAGAGATAATTATAGACTATTATAGATGATATAGACATAGAATATATATAGATATGAAAAAAGATACTGTACATCTAGCATAAGCCTAACAGTTCACCTGAACTAAGCAACTTAACCCCGCGGCACCACCATTTTTGGGGGCTGCGACGAATTCGCAGGAGTCGCGATTCGTGTTGATCGTCACTGGGGTCTACCCACAACTAGGAAACTCTGGCAATGTCTGAGTGGAGATATGTTTGGTGGTTGTCTGAAAATCTCGGAATATCACAAATCCCTGGGTGAAGTATCAACTTTCCATCCATGTGACCATGTTCGATCAAAACCATTGTTGCTGTAACTGTCATGTTTGAATCAAAATCCAATAGTTGATCAAACTGCTAAAGTGATCACTTGAGGGTATAACTCAGGCAAACCTAGATCTATTCGGGGAGATTGCATTGCGCTTTCTTCTCAAGAATTGGAGGATTTCCAGCCACATGTTTCTCTTAATTAACTGAACCACCAAACCTGGAATGGCTGGGTCCTTAGTTACAGTACCGCAACAGTGGTTTGGATTTGCCAGTTGGGGTATCCACGAGTTCCAGGCATGCATACCTCAGCCAAGGAAATGTTTAATCTGGGACCTCTCTCTGAGAGGTCATTTGAGTGAAGAACAGAACTGTAGGATCGGTTTGTTTTGGTTGTGTGTGTGTCTATCTGTCTACCCATCTCTTTCTGCTTCTCTGCGCTAGTCTATGGGATTTTTCCGGTTTGAGGTTCACCGAAAATTCTATGGTGTTCTTCCTATTGGTTGTCTTCATGGAACTCACCCAATTTTCATGACGTTTCGCCATGGCCTTGGTCTTGGTCCTGCCAAGTTTTCCGGGAAGATTTCCACACTGAAATGACCGACTCACATCACGGTTTCCGTAGGATCGTTTGTCCCAAATATATAGTTTTATAATGTTTTATACCGTCTGGTTATTTAACATAGCCATGGAAAATCCCTTAATTATAAATGGAGGTTTTAATGGGAAAATCATCTATTTCTATGGGCCATTTTCCATGGCTATGTTAAATAACCAGAGGGTAATTGTTCATGGACATGTGGTTTAGCTAGATCAGAAAAATGCTGTTAATCGGGACGCATCACAAGACATCTGTGCAATTTCCATCTTATGTTTGGACAATGATTCGTTTCTCGTTAAAATGTTCCTCATCCTTTGCCCCCTAAATACGAAAGTTACGTGGAGACTTGCCACAAGCCTTGCACCCTGTATGCACGGTACATAGCTAGCAATTGGAAATCTCCATCTTTTTAATGGGAAAATCATCTATAAATGGATCTTAAATATATAATTGATCTGCACGACTTGAACATGAAGGTGTATATGCCGTGTTTTTTTTTATGTATGCTGTATCATTGCATGTCTTATTCAAAACAGAGACTTTCAAAGTGCCAATTCCAAAAGTTGCCCAGACATCCAAAATCTGGACATGGGTCAACAAGGGGTCCCATTGAAGCCTTAGGAATTGCTATGTTAAGTACTTTGTGGGCGCCAATGCTTGTCACCATACTTTCATCCTTGGTAAGTAGATTGTAAGCGCAGTAGTAGACCAACCCTACTTGCCAGAGTTCTAAATGACCTATTTACTGGGAGGAACCACCAAGCCTTCATCTTTTGCTCGGATTAGTATTGTGACACGGCTTACAGGTAACTTCTATATGTAAAACGATAGAAAAATAAAATGAACTAAAAAAACAAAACCAAATCCAAAAAAAAGAAAACCCAATCCAAACATCAATTAGAAAAAAACACACAAACAAAAAAAAGCAAAACCCAATCCAAACCTAAATTTGAAAAAAAAAACAATCCAAACCTAAATTTGAAAAAAGAAAAAAAACACAAAAGGCAAACTAATTGTGTTCGCTCCTTTTTCGTTTTTTTCGCTCTTTTTTCACTTTTTTTTCTCGTTTTTTTTTGCTTTGTTTTCGTTTTTTTTTCGTTTTTTTGTTGTCGTGTTTTTTTTCGTTTTTTGCAACATGTTTTTTACATTTTCGAAGGTCCCGGTCATCAGGTCACCTGAGAAAGAAACAACACGAAAAAACAATCGGACTAATAAAAAAAAAACGGAAAAAAAAACAGCCAAAAAAAAAGCGAAACAAAGTGCGAAAAAATGCCGTAAAAAAAGCAACCGCATATAAATGTATAATCCGGTTTGTTTTTTGTTTGCTTTGTTTTTGCTTTTTCAAAATAGTTGTTTGGCTTTTTTTGCTTTTGGTTCCTTAGAAGTACGCTTAAGGCATCTCACAAGATTGGTATGTCTCCTCGTTTATGGTAAAGACACAATTTACTTACCTATAGCAACCACCAAGAAAATAGAAGCTACAATGCTACGCGAAGAGGCACAAAACACTACATAATTGCTGCTCAAATACTACTTATGTTCATGCTGGTGGGGTCAATTTGTCATCTAAATCAAATTAGTGCAATTCAATAGCTGACCATGAAAAATCAAGGTTCACTCAGCACCCAAATCGATCTGTCATGATCTGTCCATTGCTTCGATACTAAGGTTCCACACCCTCCGCAAACTGCTTCGGCGCTTCTGATTCCCGCCGAAGAGATTGGTCATCCACTGCCTGAATTTTGCAAGTGCAGGCGCCTTCCAGTCGAAAAATATGTGTAATAGATTGTAATAGATTGTAATAGGACTCATTTTTGAATGGACTTCAATATATTTTAGTTGGATTTAATGGAATGTGATGGGATTCAATTTCCGAAAACTTGAGTTTTTTCAGCATCAACCATTTGAATCCAATGGGATTTCAACAACAAAAACATAAGGGGTAAAAGCAGTTGGAGCCATCCAATGAGGACCCTGTTCAAAATTAGAAGTTATGTAACAGGTATGTGACCCAGCGAACATGCTGATACTGGGAGGTGCAGTTGGGTTTATTCATTGGTAATAACTATGGTAATCAGTATGGTAATGACTATGGCAATAACCTCCACAAGTTGGGACAACGGGATCTCACCCCTATGACGATGGTTTTCTATCCACTGTTTTTAAGTGAAACTGCCATCCCTAAATAACAATTTTAAATCCACTGGCTGGTTATTTAGGGATGGCAGTGGATAGAAAACTGCCAATCATCCCTTGTTATTTAGTTGGGATGGTTGCCATCCACAGTTTTTTAGTTGGGATAATTTCATCCCACTGGCTGGTTGCTGGCTTTAACTTCAACCTCTGCCATGGAGTGACATCCTGAACCGAGCTGTGCAGTGCAGATGGATACACTGCATGAACTACACAATCGATTCTATGTACCCTCTGGTAAACTAACATAACTATGGAAAATCACCATGTTTAATGGGTAAATCCACTATAAATGGCAATTTTCAATAGCTATGTTAGAGAACCATAGGGTATATCAATTCACTTTGATATTTTAGATCTGATTTTGCCAATGCTAATTCCATCTAAAACATATTTATATTGTGTGAAATTACATGATGTATATATCTATGCCAGTTTACACATATAAAGACATCCTAAATATAGGTTTGTGTGAGGATAGGGTATCCCAAAATCTAGTGGTTTATCATCATTAACCCATTCAAATTGCCATGTTTTGGGATGTACACCCGATTTTCAGGCACCCCCGAAGATCGTAATAGTTTAATTAACCATCAGTCCTATCAATCCAGATTAAATCCACATTAAATCCTCACAATATACCATATATTATTGGCTGGTTAATCCGGATTCAATGGCAACGGCGGATTTACAGAAAGTTACTCCATTTTCAGGCCCAAATCATATCTGTGGGTTATATGTTTCCATTAGATCTCCATGAAACCACCATATTTCCATGTCATCAACCGAAACAAATCCATAAAAATTACAATGTTTATTACAATTGTAATAATCATTTATTACAATGATTGGAATCCATAAAATTGTAAATAAATAAACATAGATCATTACAATTCCATAAAAAGATCAAGCATCAATCCTCAACCCATAAAGTCAAAATGGCCTTCCGGGCTCGTCTTGGTTGTCGTCATCACCTGACACAGGCAGATCATGTATATATATATAAATATAATGAAGCCATAAAGTAGATCAATATTAGCAAGTGAATATACACAATGACACTATGTATACATAACATGTGGGTATGTATATATGATACATTATATATGATAAATAAATAAATATATATATATATTATTACATATTATATGTAGTTATCTATATAACTATGTACATATGTTCACCAGTGTAGGTCTCAACATAGACAAATCACCAATAAGAACAACAATAGGAGGTGTTGTCTTCAAAGAGCACATACATTTCTTAGTATCAGTAGGTAAACAAGAAATAACAATAAATGTTAGTATTACAGTATGGGTCAAAACCAGGAAGACATCAGCATCTATGTATACAATTATGTATATATATATATGTATATATATATATATGTATATATATATATATGTATATATATATAATTATATATACAACATATTCCAGCATGTATGTATATCATATATATATATTATATACGTGAATATCATGTAACATGTATATCATTGGGATATCAGCCATCTAAGTCGGGATAGCAACCAACCACAACCGGTTTTTCTTTGTTGCGTGGGCAATGCTGTATACAATGATATCCATGTACCATGTATAAATATATATATACATATGCATATACATAGACAACTATGCCACACAAATGCCAGAATGGAAAGTCCATCTGGAGTGGAAAATTACTAACACGTTCTCCATGTAGCATGAAAGCTCTCCAACCGAAAAGGGTGTTGTCCAAACCCGGACACCCAGGTGAACACTAACATGTTTCCTAAAAAGAATGGATAGGGTTTTTATGTGTTTATCCCCTGCAGTTCAAACAGAAAACCATCGGTTTTGACACTTTCATGTCATTTGGAAACTCTGACGGTAGCTCCAACTGAGTCCCCATTGACCCTTTCCTCTGGGAGTGCCTGGATATTGCCAAAGATCAGAAGCGACAACGTACGCATTCATGTTGGCCACGTAGTCCTCTCAGTCGACAAATTACTGATTTCTTCGGGAGACGAGCAACATAGTTACAAGCAACTCCAGAAATTCAATTAAGTAGAAAATCACCCAGATAAATGAATCACCCACCCGCCCAGCAACAACCTGGAAAACAACTGCCCATTTTGGACAACATTCCCCATGAAAAAAGATGATGTTCCCATGAAAATCCACCAGTTTGGAGATGATTTCCCCCGTAAAATCCCACAAACATCACCATGTTGGTGGCCGAAATGTTAAAATCCCTGCTGTTTTTCCAAGAAATATGGAGCTACACGGAGAAAACCCATAGTCCTCTGCGAAGATCTTGGCCATCTGCTGAGTTTCAGGGCTCTTACAGACGATGTCACAGAAACTGGACTGTTCCACCATGACCTGCACCCCGGTCGGCCAAGAGGTCAGTAGATGGTGTCATCCTGGAGATGCCGAATATGTTCTGATGTTTTAAACATATTCACTTACATTTAGTGAGGATTTAGTGAGAAATTGCCATATTCTATCCAATTACTCCAGGATGATACATAAATTATCATAAATTTAGAATTTTAGTATTTATTAATCATGTGCACGACTGTAAATACTGTTCTAACGTTCACTTTATAAGGTTCAAACCATCCAGGCTTTGTATTTCTTTCTCATGGGAAAACAATGGGTTGTTTGTAGAATATTATTAATCATTGTGATTATTGCAAACAGCATTATTCATTATAATATATTCAAATACAATACGTATACAGTATATATATATATATATGGGTAAATATATATATATATATGGGTAAATTACAATATTTCACTAACCTCAACTAAGGCCATTTGGGGATGATTCCCCTTAACCATGATTTCCAGTGAGGTCGCAGTGAGGTCGTTATAATTTACCCAGATATATATACCTATATACATATATATATATATTAATATATATGTATATAATTATATGTATATATATATATATATATATCGATCAGATCAACTGGTTTTGGTGACATATTTTCGCATGATCCTTTTTTGAATCCTTTCTTACCAAAACGGTCAGCTTCGAGCGACCAAGACGGTGAGGTCTTGAGTGAGCAGATCTCCACAGAAGGTCCAGGGCGTCCACAAAGTCCTTGGAAAATGTGCGTGTGTGTGTTTTTTTCCAAGGGAAACTGTGACTTCAAAGAGAAGAAATACAGATTTAGATTGACCCTATGATTTTTAACCATTTTTTAATGGGATTTGACCAGCCAATGTAGGGAATCTGATGCAATCGGACAAGCAACGTGATGTGATGTGATAATTAATCATTATTAATCAATGTGTCTAAGCTTCGGAAACTCTTGGTAGCTCTTTGGTTCCCTTTTTTTGTGAGGGAATATTGGCTATGGAATGCTATGGACGCATCCGTAGCTCCCAAATGCTGGTGAGCACCGGAGTTTACGAGGGGAAGCAGTGGTAACCAGTGTTTCTTTGAAACTAAGATGGCAGAAGGCCCCCCCAACTCAAAGGTTTGTGGGTTTATCTCAGAAAATGTACAGCATCGGCTTAAAAAGGGTGGATGCTCTTCGCATAATCGAACAACTAACCATTGGCCAAGCATCACTGCTGGATGTTTTCCCCATGCTTGTAGCTCAAAACCGACATGTAGCTTGGTTTCCTACTACTTACTACTCAACCAAAATCTCCACCGCTGAGCTTAGTTCCCATCCCAGCTATGCATGTCAGGCAACATCTCGGAAATCCAGGTGTCAATGTCTGCCACCGTCTTCCTCAGACAAGGCTGCGGCTCGGGAATTGAGAGGGCATGACTGGGGAATTTGGCTTGTCTCAACGTGGGGGATGCCAATGGCCACGCACATAGAAAATGAGGACGGTGTCACAAGGACCTTCAAGGAGGCTTGGATGTATTCTGATTGCTCTATGCTGACCAATGCTTTTGTGATTGTGTCTGTGTGTTCATCATCTGAAATTGGGCATTTGTTACGCCATTTTCACACAAACCATACGTTTTACACACAAATTGGGATACATTGCGCCGCATGAATCATGGGGAATATCATCCACTTAGATGGGGCATCCAACCATGGAAATATCCCCCATTTTCAGTCACACCCAGAAGATCATATTGTTGATCCCATGGAAATATCATGAAATATCCACCAAAAATTAGAGTTTCATTTAGATCCCAATCAATCGCATTAAATTTCTATTCAATTCAAATCACCTTACAGCCGTTGCCAGAATTATAGAACAGAATGAGAAGTACAAAAGTACATTAAAATACCGTACTTTCGTACTCCTCCGGATCCCGATTCCGCGCGGATTCGGATCCTGTTCCATAACTAATGTTTGGCTGTTCTACAATTAATTTGTGCTCGTCAGCTTCCCATTGAAACCACCAGCAACATGCAGATTGGATGGGTCTTGGAGGTTACTTGCATATATGTGCATCATTTTATGATATCTTATGTATCTTTCTGGGACCCCGGAAGAATGTACATAGAAACTAGAATTATAGAACGGAATAACTGCAAATTTAACCATAGAACACGTAATTATAGAACAGAATTGGTAAATGTGTGACATACGGGGGAAAACACAATTATAGAACACAAACAAGAATGATAGAACGACAAAAAAGTTAGGAGTAAGTTGAGAGTAAGGTTTTTTTTCCAACCTTCTGAGGAAAACGGAATGATAGAACAGCAGGGCACGGTAAACAACCGTACTTTCGTACTCCTCAACTTCCGTTCTATGTGGCAACGACCATAAATCCCATAGCCCAAATCATCCAGCGGTTAGACCATGACTTGGTAAACCCACGGTGACGACTGCGGATCCCCCATTTTAAGAACCCGCCGAGTGGAGAAAATGAGGCTTTATGTAAGCATGTTTAATAATTTTTAACCGGGTAGAGCCTATTTTCAACCAAACCCATACCTTGAGTTGGAGTCGATTGACTCATATCTATCAAATGATATATAACACTTCTCACCAGGCACTTGGAACCGTCTGGATGCAGTTTTCTTCAGCCATGGTGACACGTTCCCTACAACGGACATCATTTCGGGGTAAATCTCCCATTTTACACAGCCAAATATCATATGAGCTGTGTAGCCTATGAAATTCTGTACATTGGCTGGTGAATCCCATTTACATCCCGTGGTTAATCCATGTTAATCCTTGTCGAATTCCCAGTGGCCCTCGATTTTGCAGGTAGAGCAAAGCTCCTGAGGTGGCCAAGAAGACGTGTTCCGCCACGTTACCAGCGTAGAACCTCGCTGTGTGTGTCATCCATTTTTGGAGTTTCCTAAGTCATGGGGGTACCCCTAAATGATCTACAGTAAGATTATCCAAGTCGTCACTATTTCCTATGACTTAAGGTATTGAAATCATTTGAAATCCATCACTTGGGGATCCTCTATTTTAAGGAACCCCGAGAAGTGAGAAGTGACGGCGCCGCTCATCATGATCCGCCCACTTTTTCTGATTCTCCCGCGGGAATCATTTGGTGATGATCCAGCATGAGATTTTCTTGGAATACCCCAATATCACAGCTGCTTCGGATGGCCCAATAATGGCTTAATAATGGGTTAATAAATGTTAATAATGGGATGAACCCATCATTATGAAAACCGCAATCAATTTCGGACATCAAAAGCAACTAGAATTCATATTCCCCTTGAAATCGCAAATAAATCACTAGTATTCTCCAATACTGCTTAAATTCGACCCATCCACCAGTTGGTTTACCAAGGCACACCACCTCGCTGGTCGCCAGGAAAGTCTGGGTCACTGCATTGGCCGCGATTTCATGCGCAACTTCTCGATGCTGCAAGTTATCACCTTGGTCGGGTCGGGGCTCAGCTGATCTTTTTCGGGCTGTGGGTATGAAATGGTGTTCAAGACATTGAATCCACTGAGTGACAGGTTTTTGGTCATTCTTTAGCCACTTGGGGAATCGATTCATAAAACCGCTTCAAGCACCAAAAACCGGTGCTAGGTTCACTTCCGTAACGTAGCAATGATCAGTTCATTTCTCCAGTGCATGGTGGTCATTTTGATGGTAAGCCAGTGATCAAGCACTGTTCATCTTGGGGCTTAGGGATGCACATCTGGGTCCAACCATCCGAGGCACCGCCAAGTTTACTTGAAGGATCACGCTACGTTTTTTTGCAGATGTTTAGTAACAAGACTTCCCAATTTAGAGTCATTTATAAAGTTGATTATATGAACGAATCTAGGACTTACGATCTCATGGGTTAAAGACCAGTTACAGTACGAATTACTCTCGGGTAATCTTTAACATAGCTATTGTTTCTCGAATTTCCCTATTTTAACCTAGCTATCAGAATGGGCTACCCGGCTACCCAACTAGCATTTTGCGTATAGTAGACCACTATATAGCTATTGGACAGAATCAACAATACACAAGTAAGAAAAGTTTGAACAGGAGGCCACTAACATGGCTATCATTTTACAGCACTCAAGGTCTCCAAGATAGCAGGAAACCCACTCACCTGGCTATGATGTTCTTCTCCATCGCACGCTGCTATCATAGATTTACCAAAAAAAATCAAAAAAACATGCTGCTAACATAGCTATCCGTTTTGTTCCTGGATATTCCCATTTTACACCATAGCAACGTGGCGTGGCAACGTGGGATCATCCTCTAAGTCCCTTTTCTTTTGAACCGTCTGCCGCCGCCCTGAAAAGCCCCTGGTGTTTTCCCATCGTGGTCGAGACCAGGTCACGATTTGGGAGACGTGTATCCCCTTGAAGAAAAGAGGATACCATCAACAACCCATTTTCCTCTTACAAAATCGAACACAAATGGGGGGGGCATTTGGTGGAAATGCCAAAGCATATCCCATGCACATGTCTTACTGTAGATGCACCACAAAAAAAAACACCTTGTTGACCTCCCAAATCCACGTTTGCTCAACCAGTATATGGTGAGTCTTCAGTTGGTGTTTGATTTCAAACCCATTCTGCGTTACATGTAAGTGACCAAGTTATTTGGAATAAACATGGGCAATTATTTGATAACGTGGATTTTCCAATAATAAATCCAACAATATCAGTTTTGGAAAAGGATCGTCATTCCAAACAGAATGGAATTATATAAGTTGGTCGTTCTTTAATTGTTCAACCAACAACACACCGAATGATCAACCAAAAATTCCAGAATCAGTATTATTGGGGATGTCTCATCAATGTTTTTTTTGGTTGTTGGTGCTTACTCAATGTTAATCAATTTTTGTTCGTTCTTCAAAGTTCTCAGTGTTTCCGTCATGTTGTTTTTCTTCAATGTTTGGTGTGTTGTTTTCTCAACTTTGCTGCTATTTTCCCACTTGTCATTCATGTGTTGTTTCTTCCATTTTCCATGGTTTTTACCAGGTGTTCCATCATTTTCCATGCATTTTCCTCCATTTTCCCATGGGTTTTCACCCCCCACTCCGTTGCTTCTCCTCCCAAAACAGCGGCTCAGGGTCATCCCAGTCACCGGCCAACAAGGCATCCGCCACGAAGACCAAGAAGCTCAAGGATCGCTGGTACCTGCGATGTTTGTGTTTTTAAACTATAGTTATACAGCATTTTGGTGGTTTCAATCCCTCTGAAAAATATTAGTCAATGGGAAGGATTATCCCACATATTATGGAAAAACAAAAAATGTTCCAAACCACCAACCAGACAGTTATGCCATTAGTAAACTATTGTTAATGGCTAAATTGTGCTAGTGGATAAAAAACTATCCGGCTAATGGTATTACTATAGATAAACTATGTGTTGTGTTATACAGTTTTCTAGTAATACCATTAGCCAAATGGTAATATATGGGACCATGGAAGCCATGGCCCATAGATGTGAAAAACTTGATAATTTACCTATTAAAAATGGGTGATTCTCCAGTTCGCTACGTTAAATAACGAGATGGTATAGTATATGTTCACTGCTATAGTTATGTTACTATTGTGTTATATCTATAGTTTCTATAGTTTATAACAACTGCTGTTACTGTATTATGTTACTGTATTATGTTACTGTATTATGTTACTGTATTATGTTACTGTATTATGTTACTGTATTATAATACTTACATAAACACTTATGTTATACATGTTGTATGTGTTGTTATATAGTTATGTTCTATAATGATATGTTGTTATATAATTTTATAGTTATATATATATATAAATATAACTATATTGTTATACAGCTATATAATTATGTGGTTTTGTGTGTGATTGTATAGCTATACTACAGTTGTATCCCCAAAAAAACTATGAATACTATAGTTATAGTTGGGTGTTTGGTGGATATCCATGAATCTACAAGCATGAAAAATACCCATGAATGGTATGAAATGAATAATGCCATGTGAATATTATAGTTATATGCAGCTATCATGAAAACTGTTACTAGCTGTAATTCCAAATACCAGGTGTTATACATAATTGTTATTAATGACCTAGTGACCTAGTCAGAAAAGCTAACATTGTACGGCACTGAAACTGTAATTAAGACTCCTATATAATATTAGGTCATTCAAAACTGCATTCGTGATATGTCTTAATTGTTCAATAGTTTGATTGTTTTTTGAAGGGTTCATAATTTGGATCTGAATGAGGATAGAATGGATTTCTGATTAGCTTAGTAATGACATGTAATGACTATTATATAATAGTGCAATAATAGTATTACTCACTTCTGACAACTATTCTATTTATGGCGCAACCGCCTGCACTTCATTTGGCTTTTGGACTCTCGGGGAAGAAATAACATGGACATGGTTTAGACTGATACTTAAATGGATCCAGCAGTATACCTTCGATTTGCATTTGAAATTTTAGTGTGCGTATTAAGGGCTTAAGTACTTCGTTTCGGAAGTATTTGGATAAATTTTGATGTATAGGAATATATCTGGCGAACCTGCAAGCATTTTGTTGCTATATCCAGTGTAGGGTTTCCTTTTAGCGATATTTCATGTTATTGGGCATGTTGGCCAATATCTATGAAGCATTCTTGGGATGAGATTCTATACATGACATCTCCCACCTATGCTGCATTAAATATGGATTATATATGAGGTGTCAATTAGCATTACAGCCACACCGACCACTAGTCTCATTCAAGGTATTATGGTACCACATACCACACCATACTCTACCCTACCCTACCATACCCACCTTTGGTGAAAAAACATGGAAATCGGTTTCAGGCTTTCTGCCACCTTAAATGTTGGGTTGTTTTTGTGAGGTTGCCTGCAACACAGTGCTAGAATGATTTATGGTGAAATTGTGATGAGCTCTATTTCACCCATGATATCTCATGTGATGATCCGAATACAGATATACATGGAAACATAACCGAAGTCATATCATGTAAGTCATGTAAGGGTAAAATTACATATATTGTCTGTATAATATATATATATATACACATGTTAGATAATAAACAGCTATATATATATATATAAATACAACATATACGTATACAGGATGATATACATGCTACTACCTGTCTATATGCACCAAGAGGTAAGGATGAACGGCATCCTCACATTTCTAGATATTCCAAGGTGACAAGACCTGATCAAAATCTGGTCACTTTCACTTTGGCTTACCGAATGGCTGTCCGAAACCGTTGAAGAATGCGATCGGGCCCAAAAATCGTGGCCTTTTGCTGAAAAGAAACAAAAAAACAGCAGCGACAAAGGCCTGGCCCGCGAAGTTTGTGATTTCCTTTCTTTTGGCCTCTGAGTTACTTTGTTTTGCAAAGGTTGAACGTTGGAAAATGAATCACGGATTCAATGGCTATACTGGCTATACCATGAAAACTGTTGTTTGTAAAAAGAAAACAAAATCCCAGGAAATCACCATTAAACATCATTAAACCATATTCAACCATCTTAAACCACCACATTTCCCCAGCATTTTCCCAGCAACCTCCCAACGCTGCGAATGCGCCTTGCAAATTGCAATTCTCCTTGCAGGTTCTTGGACAGCAAGCTGAGCAAAGGCACCTTCAGGAGCCGATCCTTCGGGGCTATGGTGGGTATAGATGGCTAATTTTCTTCGATGATTTCGCTACAGAGTGAGTTGAAGAATTTCGCTGTGTTTTGCATGGGAAGGAGTTTTCTAATTGAAGACTTGGGATGATCAGAATTTAGTCTCTTGTGACCCATATTACTGGAGGGTAATGGTATTCAATGTTACCCTCTGGTAACCAGACATGGCTAGTTGGAAACTCCACCATTTAGTTCGATGATTGTCCCATCTAAATGCTGATTCATAGTGGATATTTTAGCTTGCCATGTTTGAGTACCAAAGGCTATATCACCAACACTAGTTGAGATAATGGGGGCTTAGTGGTATCTAATGGTATTTAACTTAATGGCATTTAATCGGAATAATTATATAATGGAATTTGCAGGGGTCTATCCAACACTGACATTTAATGAGAATCGATCGGATCAAAAACCAGCAACACATGGTTCACTATGGGGAGAAAACATGGTATACTCCGTGAAAAACATGGCTATATGATGGTATATGAACCTGAATCCCATCCTATTCCCTAGGGATTTTACGGATTTTTCTGACCGTCCCAAAAGAAACAGGTCTACGGCATGGAGGATCAAAGTTATGACCATGGCACATATGTGTTATGATCAAAACATGGTATATGGCGAGTATGGTTTTCTATCATCATTGGGAAAACCATCCCCGGGTGGGAAAACATGGCCCATGGTTTGAAATCTGGAAAACAAACCTCGCTGGAAAATCAACCATTTAGTTCGGCAATTTTCAGCAGTTTTCCAGTCAGAAATCCCGAGCGCGGACATGTGGCAGTTTCGGGGTTGATGACACCAGAGGGTATCCAAGCTTTCTGTTGCTATTTCCATCAATATAAAATAGATATCAAATCTCATTAACCCCAATCAGTTATTAGCCACTATCATTGATTGGTATTCCATGATTTTTCCAATTCCAATGCAATTCATTGCTCTCAATTATTAACCACTATCAATATTCATCAACCATTCATCCAGCAAATCATAGTCCCCAGTATCCTTCTTATAATCCTTACATTCCTTGTGTTTGATTGCAAATATCCCATTACAACCCCTACTTAATAAACAATTATAACCCATATGCTGTTCAGGACCCTGATAATCCCCATAATAGTCATTGTCAATATATCCTATCATTATATAGGATCATAATCCCTATCCCTATCCCTCTTGTAATATTCTTATAATCCCCTATATCCCAATTTAAGCATCATTGCATCACGGGGTATCCTTCTAATCCTATCCAAAAATATCCAAGAATTATATCCCGTTATTTGATATCCCATATAATATATTATCATATCCCTATGTCCCTGCTGGGTCGCCCTTTGGGGATTCTTCATCTACCTGAGATCCGTCGCACCTGCGTCTCCGAGATCACTTCCCTCTGCAAGGTATAACTGTGCTGCAGGAAGTTCTTCACACGCTGCGACAGGCTCCCAGGGATCCTGAAAAGATCTGAAAAGACACCGAGAAGTGAACCACAACAGGATGTTAAGGGAATGTGAAGGGGATGTTAAGGAGGTCTTAAGGGAAACATCTGCGTGGAAACCTATTTTTGGTCATCCAACTAAGTTTATGGATGATGTTAAATGAATTTACCGTTCAAGTGTTTCTGATTGTGGTTTTTTTTTGCGGAATGGTCCCTCCAAGGAATTCTGGGATGATTGGATTGCTACCGGAAATGTGTACCGGAAAGGTTTCACTTGGGGATGACCCAAGTGGAGATGGGACACAGGATGACACAGGTTCTCTGCAGTTGAACCAGCGCCAGTTACAGATTCAACATTCTGACATTTATGGGTATTCCGGACTTGGATTTTCTGCAGGGGTTGCGAATGGGTAGAACCATGGCTACTACATGAACATACAGGAGTATGCCAGGGAAAGTATTTGGTACATCCAGCAATTGAGGGGGTGTTCCTAATTCGTTCTCCATTGCGGCCCGGCCTTGTTCTCCAAATTTGTTTTGCTAGCTAAATGCTTTGCATGCAATGCCTACCTTGTTCTCAGAATGTTCCTACCTCGTTTTGCAACCCAAATATGGTGTTTTCGACAAACTGCGGCACACCCCTTCACATCACCAAATAAAAGCGGTAACTGGTTCATCACCATGAGCTGGAAATAACAACGTAACTTCTGCTAATCGAAGGTAGTTTCGAAGTCAAACTTCCGACTTATGGACAGAAGAGTCAGAAGAAAGACAGACAGCAGAGAAGAAGTCGAAGAGAAAGAGTCAGGAGAAAGAAGATCAAAGTGAGCGAAAAGGTAGAAAAGCAGCGACACACTCTGTTTTTCCAATGTTTTGAAGCTCCTGAGGGTCGAAAAGTGAGTTCGCTAAAGCGGCAGGTGTGGAGGCATCTGGTCGGATGAGAGATCAAAAAATTGAACGCCGTTGTGGCACGAAGCACATTTCCAAGTCAAAATGCTACAAACACCAGATGTTTTCGACCACTTTTGGACATTGAAGCGTCGCTTTATGTGGCAAGCCCAATGGATTCTGCATCTTGCCAAAAGTGAGAAAAACGTGAAGGTTTCGTGACACTTGCAAAAACGATGGCAGATGTGGGACGTTTCAACAGGATCTCCAAAGAGAATTTTGTGCGGCAGGCGCAATACAAGAGACATCTTCATGAAACATGTTAGTAAGGGGGCTGATTTGCTGAGAGGGCAGCATTTTGGAGCATCAGATCTTCAAGTTTGCTAAGATGGCTTTGCGTGACAGGTGCAGCACTTCGTATGACCTGGCCTCACTTTCTCGTGGCAGGCGTGGCACGAAGCCGTCAGCTCTGCACTCAACTTTTCATTTTTGAACGAAATCTCGTAGAATTGCTGTGTTTTTGATGCTGTCGAATTAGACTTACTGAGGAAGTCTGAACAGATTTGTTTCGCCGTTTTGGATGTTGCCAACTTTTATTCTTTGAGGAAGTCTCGCAGAATTCCTTCCTTTCAGACAGACAGACAGACAGACAGATAGATAGACAGATAGATAGACAGAGAGAGAGAGAGATAGATAGAGAGATAGATAGATAGAGAGATAGATAGCTAGATAGATAGATAGATAGGTAGATAGATAGAGAGATAGAGAGATAGAGAGATAGAGAGATAGAGAGATAGAGAGATAGAGAGATAGAGAGATAGAGAGATAGATAGATAGATAGATAGATAGATAGATAGATAGAATCGATAGGTTCGATAGATAGATAGATAGATAGATAGAATCGATAGATAGATAGATAGATAGATAGATAGATAGATAGATAGATAGATAGAATCGATAGATAGATAGATAGATAGATAGATAGATAGATAGATAGAATCGATAGAATCGATAGAATCGATAGAATCGATAGATAGATAGATAGATAGATAGATAGATAGATAGATAGTTCGATAGATCGATAGATCGATAGATCGATAGATCGATAGATAGATAGATCGATAGATCGATAGATCCATAGATAGATCGATAGATAGATAGATAGGTCGATAGTTCGATAGATCGATAGATCGATAGATAGATAGATAGGTAGATAGACAGACAGACAGACAGATAGATAGGTATAGGTAGATAGATAGGTAGATAGATAGATAGATAGATAGCGAGGTATATAGGTAGATAGATAGATAGATAGAGAGATAGAGAGACAGACAGACAGACAGACAGACAGACAGACAGCCAGACAGACAGACAGATAGACAGACAGCCAGCCAGCCAGCCAGGCAGGCAGACAGACAGACAGACAGAGAGTCAGATGGTCAGATGGTCAGGTAGTCAGATAGTCAGATAGTCAGATAGACAGATAGACAGACAGATAGCTAGATAGATAGATATTAGATAGATACATAGATAAATAGATAGGCAGAAAGATAGAAAGATAGATTAGATAGGTGTGTATATGTATATATATATAATATAGATAGAGAGAGAGACAGACACAAAGAGAAGGAGACACAGAGAGAGAGAGAGAGATTCGCTCTGCCATCCATGAATCACAACAGCTCACCTCCCCTACAGGTTTCCTATCTTTGAAACTTCCGCACCGCCTGCTGTTACAGTTGGTGACCTTCAAGAACCAGCGATTTCCCCATGCCAAGATGCTGATTCCGGACCAAAAAGCTTCGCAACAAACCTCAACTGAGGAACACCATACGATCAATGCAGGTGTTGAGCCACCTGCAGTTGAGTCTTTGGAGCTATATACATTGCGTGGCATGAAGATTTCATTGATGTGGGGTATGCGTCTCACACTGATTGGTAGAAGTAGGCAGCTTATATAATTATCAATCATCATAATCATCCTCATAATCACAATTACACTATACTACCACCATGATGATCATCACCATAATTACAATCACGTTTGTTATATAGATAGCGATTGTGGCCGACTGTCAGATCCCGACTATGTTCGACTTGATTCCTGAGTTCCAGGATGATTTTGTCCATACTCAAATGGCCTAAAATCATCTAACATCATTAGTATCAAAGGTCCTAATCAACCCCAGAAACTCCTAGTGACTAACATCATTAGTTCGAAGTCAACTTAATCCATCTAACATCATTAGTTCAAAATCAACCTAATCCATCTAAAATCATCCGAAATCAAGCCCAGAAAAACTCCTGATGACTCACTTTCCCTCTGGCTTCATCGTGGATTATCATAACTATACTCTGGAATTTTACAACTAGGGTAGGGCAAAATGTGTCATTGGAGTACCGAACTGATCAAAATCAGCAAAACCCAAATCAAAAAACATCAGAAATCAATTCCAAAACCATAAGAAATCAACCAATCCAAATAAATTACTCAAAACTGGAGATTTTGGCCCCTTTTTTTCGGACCTCCAACGCCTTCGTTGCCACGGCACGGAATTCATGCAGTTCTTGCTCTCGAGCGTTGTGCAAACTCGTCAGCAAAGAGGTCATCAAACTCACCAGCGACCTGCGAGTTTTCACGTGTCAACCTTGGGTGTTTAAAACTTTTTTTACACACAAAAAAGTCTATAATGTATAATATTAAACTAACTAATGATTAAACATTATTATATTACCTTTTTGATTCATAATGTTCACCAATGATTAATGGAATGTATGATATTCAACTCAATATGGCTAAGTATTAGAGGTGTAACATGCTGTAACTGGCATCACAGTATCACAACTGTAGCATTAAGAGCGACAATTATGTCAAACCACTGTGGTTTATAATTGTGTAAATGATCTACATGATGATTTACCAATTGCACATGATATATATATATATATATACACTGTATATACATATATATATATACTGTATAAATATATATATATACATATATATATATATATATACTGTATAAATATATATATACAGTATATGTGAAGAAATGTCCAATTGCCATTCTTTGGAGCCTAGCTTCCCAAAAAGTCATCCACTAACCCTGAATTCCGCATCTTTGATTTCCGTCCACTTCTGCTGCCTCCAAAATTGGAAACAGTTACAGTACTGAGCTCGTTTTCAGCTGTGTATCACATTTCCCCTCTTCTGGCAAAAAAACATTTTACTTTTCATCATGTTTCTCATGTTTCATGGCCATCGATGTACTGCATACAGTATTACGCACATTTTTAAACACCCATCTGGACATTCTTCGTTCCAGTATATCTCCCCATTAATATCATCATTGGATTTTCTTGGTTACAACATGTATAACTATATATACAATATAATAGATATATATATTATTATACATTATGTCTATAACTTATGATTGATCCCCATTGAATCACCCAAGGACGGTGAATCCCATGGCGCACGAGAAGGTGATGATGGCGAAGAGAACCACCACGATACCGAACAAGCGCTCCACCAGATTCGTGGCTTCGATGATGTTTGAACCCATGCCTTTCAAGGGGGCGAAGTTGCTGGAGGCTCATGGAATATGCTGTGGGAATAAACTTTGACTGTATATGGTATAGTGGTATAGAATATGTATATATATATACAATATATATATACATAAATATATTGTGTATATATATATTGTATATATATATTGTATATATATATTGTATATATATATATATATTGTATATATATATACATATATATATATATAATTATATATATACATATATACATACATATATACATAACGTTATATAACATACTCATACGTTATATGACCAACAACATGCTGGGGTGTGTACACCCACCAAAACAATGAACTTTAAGAGGAAACACATAGAATCATTCAATTCTGGGGTAGCCTATTCTCAAACAAACCCATATAGGTAAGCTGGCTTAGAACTATATGCATTGCTCACAAGTCTTAAGCGTCTTACCCCCTATGGCCCTATGTTTGTGGTAGCTTTTGATGGCGCAGCTCAACACTTGATTCAACACGGGATTCCACCATAGATTTCACCCTAAGATCCCTGGGTACCATCCCTTCCCTAAGATCTTGGACCCCTCGACCAAATGGGTCCCAAGTGGGTCTGACCCAAGTGGAAAGTAGCGATGATCGGGATGATCTCCAACAACGGTTGAATCGTGGGAACTTTCAATGAGTACTGTCCTCTCGTGAATGGTACCACTTTGCAAAAGTACAGTAGTATCAGCAACAACAGCTTATGTGGCCTCGAGCACGACTTCTCATGCTCGATCTTTAGATACAATGAAATTTGGAGAATCATATTTAAACTATGAATCCTCAATCTAAGGGGAAAAAAAACATTAAAAAAATACTAATCTATGTGAAACTCGCCAACTCCCGGGTCACACTACCCAACCTTAGGGCCAACCTTTAGCTGCACCCGCTGCACCCAGCCTAATTGACAAAGAGCCCAGTGCAGCGTTGTGGTGTATTGATATCCGAACTCTGCATTCGTCAGATCTGCCAGGGCATCAGTGCTTGGAGAGTGAACATTGAACCATGGATCTCTACTGCTTAATCGCCCTTGTGGCAATACCAAGAGGGACCAAAAAGACTTCTATTTCAGCACGTTTGTTTCCAAACATTTCTGCAAAATGAGGACTCATAACCCAAGTCAATCCCATCTTAGTATGATTCAATACAGGAACCCAACGAAGAGGTCCAATACTAACCCAGGCTTTCAAGAGGTGTATTTAATATTAGGGTGGGATTGGTACGTGTCCTAAGGGGGATTATCCAATCGAATAAATGGATGGATCTGGATGGATAAGCTCCACTTTAGGCCCGACTAGTTACGATCTGTGGGATGATCCTCCCACTATGATCTACCAAGAGACTACTAGAAGAAAGGGCAAAGCTCTGAAACCACCAATTAGATGCTTTCTTTGAAGCGGCAAAAACGTCGAAAACCATGGTTTCGTCTTTGTCATTCAAACAAGTCATCTTTCGACATCTCTGATCCAGAATGATGATGACTCATGGTGTTTGTCATGAAATGTCATAAAGGAGAATGAGTCATTCAATGAGTCATCTCTGATTATTTAAAATCATTGAACAAAAATGTTGAAAACATTTGAATGTTAATGACTCATTAAAAAACTCATCATCTATTGTAAATAATGTAAACAACTTACAGTATCATTTGCCATCTGGTTATTTAACATAGCCATGGAAAATCCCAAAAATAAATGGATGTTTATAGCTGGGAAAATCATCTATTTCTATGGGCCATCCATACCATGGCTATGTTGGTCATAACCAGAGGGTACAACACATCCTGGCTCTCCGAGTGCCAAGAACTGAGCCGCCCCGCCATAGGTCTGGATCCAACTGACTTGAGATTCATTCAGCTTTCCGAGGCCGAAGAAAATGCAGGCCACCACGTGGTACATCAGCAAAATCCTGGGAATCAAGGGAAACCAAGGGTTTCTCAGCATGTTTCAGCAACCAAAACATGAGGAAACCATTGCATTTTAAATAGGAAAAGGAATGAGAATTCTTTGGAATTGGGGCTACACTATGGGGCCCATCTCATTTTCGGACAAAGCCATTGCTCCGTTGGATTTCCCCGACTGACCGATGACCCTGCAACTCAAAGCCCGCAAACTCCAGGCGATGTGCAGGATCTTTCATCCATCATGATCCATTATGTATACAAAAATATACATACTTATATATTTACAGATATATATATATATATACAAATACATACATATACATATATATATATATATATATATACGTATATGTGTATGTTATACAGCACCAATTACCATCAATTATATTCAATTATAATCATGTAAATATAATGATGCCTGTCTGTCTGTATGTAATGTAATGTAATGTAATGTAGTGTAATGTAATGTAGTGTAATGTAATGTAGGGTAATGTAATGTAATGTATGTGTGTGCGTGTGCATAATTCTATTTGTTTGTATAAGTATGTATTAGTATGTATTGGTATGTATCAGCATGTATCAGGAAGTAGTATGTAGTAGTATGTATCAGTATGTATTAGTTTAGCATGTATTAGTATGTATCAGGATGTATCAGTATACATCAGTATGTAGTATGTATGTATTAGTATGTATTAGTATGTATTAGTATGTATTAGTATGTATTAGTATGTATTAGTATGTATTAGTATGTACTAGTATGTATTAGTATGTCTTAGTATGTATTAGTATGTATTAGTATGTCTTAGTATGTATTTGTATGTATTAGTATGTATTGGTATGTATTAGTATGTATTAGTATGTATTAGTATTGGAATCTATTAGCATGCACTAGTATGTATTTGTATGTATTAGTATGTATTAGTATGTATTAGTATGTACTAGTATGTATTAGTATTTCTTAGTATGTATTAGTATGTATTAGTATGTATTTGTATGTATTAGTATGTATTAGTATGTATTAGTATTGGAATCTATTAGCATGCACTAGTATGTATTTGTATGTATTAGTATGTATTAGTATGTATATGTATGTATGTATAATACATATATATATATATATATACACATTATAGTGGCTCAGCAATATCGCGGCTCAAGCATCTGGATGATAATGTTCACGATGCTCATCTGAGTGATCCAATATTGCGAGTCGAATCCTGTGGGGCTGGGGGTTCTAAGATTTGCAGGACCCAGCGTTCTCAAACATTGAAGATCATTTACTGGTTGGTGGTTGACCTACCCCTCTGAAAAATATGAAAGTCAGTTGGGATGATTCTTCCGAATATAATATATGGAAAAAAAATGTTCCAAAGCACCAACCCGTTTAAGTCTAGTGTTGACTCTTGGATCTCTTGGGTTGACCATATGAAAAACACATCGTTCACACCTCTTTTCAAACTCATCCCTCAGCTCTCGCAGCTCAAGTGGCGTTCTCGCAGCGAGGCAAACATCTGATTCCACTTCAGTAATCGGCCAACTCCTTGGTCATTGATGGTCATTCGGGCTGGGAAACCATAGGCAACCATGGGAAACCACCTGCCCGGCCCAAGTAGCCATGAAAAATGGGCAATGGTAAAATTCTACTGCAATGATGGCACAATTTCAAGATGGCTACTTCGAGGGTTCAACTCCTGGAAAAAACATGTACTCTTCGAGAATCCAAGAGATGGGATAAAAACTGGCAGCTTTTCCGTTTCGAAAGGTTTTGTGGGGATGAATCTCCCAGAACTGATCATTGTGAATTTCTGAGCAATTCCGAGCATTTTGGAATGTTCATCACCTAGAAAAAGGCTTTAACCCATTTGTGCGAGCGATTTACACGAAAGTCGCGGTGTTTTAGGCTTTGACAGCGTGTGGCAGAGAAACCCAGAATTGAAGGTACTGCAAAGTACAAAGGAACCAACCATGTTCACGCTGTTATGCATCCCAAGATTGAAGATCAATAATCAATGTGACCAATGTGATCCGATTCTTAATGATAAATGATCATCTATCAGTGACTAGTTGATCATTGATCATGACCATTGATCTATAATTAATCAGTGCTCATTCTTCATGATAAATGATCATTGATATTCATTGATCTAAATTCATATATAATCATACTTATAATAGTTGATCATTGATCATTATCAGTGACAATTTTGTACTATCGATCTCCTCTTAGCCCTGCTGCGACGTGTTTTTCACACCGCCGAGCCGGCTGGGACTGTGAAATCACATTTTTTCATCCAAATTTCCAGGTGAAAAACACCACTCCCGGCAAAAATCCATATAAAAATCTATATAAATCTTGATGTTCCATGGAATAATCAACTTCCTGCAACAGTTTGCACTGGAAAAACAACGACAACGGCGAGAACTTGTTCATCGCTGCCGATGCTCGAATCATTCGGATGACCTGCAGCACTTGCGTGGAATCCGGCAGCGCTTCTCGCGAGCCAAAACCATCCATTCCAAGCAGGATGTAGTCCAGCACAATGACCTGGGACGGCAAAAAAAACACCAGAAAGCAATTTTTTCATCTGTCTGATAGTTTCAAAATCCGCCAGGTAGGATATGACTTAGCTCTGAATATCGATATTTCGAGATCGAACATTTATGTGAAAACTATACAGTATGCTCACATATAAACGATATTAATGGCTTGCTGGAACTGCCATCCCATTCTGTGCTTATTACATCACAGGCCATCCAAACTTTGGACCAAGACTCCGAAGACTGACTGCCATTCATACTGCGAAAGTGTACCACACAAAACAGCAAACAAACGCTACAAATACCTCCAAGTACCCACAAAAATCAACAATTGGTATTTTGTACCATAATTCCAGAACTTTGCTCATTTTATCCGTACTTTGAGGGTCTAGGTCGATATCAAACTATCAAATACAAATACCCTCTGGTGTCATCAACATGACTGGAAAATATCCCCAGCGCTAGAAACTGATGATTTTCCCATGTTTGATGATATCGAAGGGTCAAAATCGACTGAGCCAAAGAACACAAAGGTCAAAGAGGAACCAGCGCTTGAGGTAGTGCTTCGCTATCTTCCGCGAGTCAAGGACAAGCACGCCCTTCTCAAAATGTCCAGTTCGAAAGGACACTAAAATATCCTTGGCTCCATCCGTCACGGATGTTTCTGGGATATTTTCAAGGAAACAGTTAGCATCTAAATTTGATCATTGGGCAGTTCACTTCAGTGGATGGTGCAACAGTTCTGGTGTGCCCGCTGTACAGCACAGTGATGTTTAGCACCCCAGATGAACCACTTGAATGTGCCCAGTGATGGCAATAACCAGAGGTATAGCCTACTAAGACAATAGGATATAAATGGATATAATATAATATAATACATGTAATATGCATATAAGCATATATGTATATAATTCTTTTTATATATCATATACCCTCTGGTAAACTAACATAACTATGGAAAATCACCATGTTTAATGGGAAAATCCACTATAAATGGTCATTTTCAATAGCTATTTTGACATAACCAGAGGGTATTCGTGAAAATAATGATGGTTTGTTCCTCACCTGACATCCATAGCTCCAAACCAGCTGCTCCGCCAAGACTCCAAGGTCCAGAAGATCAAGGAGAAGAAACTCACGACCTTCACCTGGGATCATCGCCATATCCCATGGACATTCGCGTCTCAAAAGGACTGTGGTCATGACGAAAAGCCATATGGACTGTGGTGATTAACAATTCCCAGTTTCACATGTAAATGATGATATATGATGATATACCCGAGTTTTGCAAGTGATGATTCAGTTGCTGTAACTGCACTGGTCCCGTTTTTTTTTTGTCAATGACTGAGAAGTGCGCTGGATACCACTACGATCCTCTGTGAGGGGTACCATCCGGTACCACTGTTATAACTTTGAGTAAAAAAAAGGGCGTTGATAAATGATATTGAACGGCACCATAGTTTTTACATGTGTGGCCTATAAATACTTGATTGAATAATTGAATAATTTGGTACCAGTATGTACCACCTAATCTCCTCCGTGCCTGGATTTGTTTTGGATGCTTTGATAATTCCTTCAGATCTCAACAAGGCACGGGCAAATCAAAGTCGAGGGGAATGTTGAAGAAGCGTAGTGGAATCACCACGATATCAATGATGACACCTGCAGATGTCGGTATTTTCTTAAGTTGGCGAACTGGAACCAGATGGAACCGATGGTCCAAAGTTTCTTGATTTACCGAAATCAAAATTGCTGATTGCCATTGGCCGTCTTAAAATCACCAGGGGCTAGTCAAGTCGTGGATTATGTTTTACAGGAAAACCATTCAAACATTCAGCGGCTGAATCTACAAAATAATGCCATACATATGAATTTATAAGATTTTATAACTAGGTATACCCGAGGTTGGGACTTCCCGTAACTGAGGTTCTTTAGCGAATCATCACTGCATCAAACGTGGCAGTTTCCGGAAGCGGCAATGGGTCAAGCGCTTGGGTGTTTCCATGTCGAGGGATGGAACAAAAATGGCTTCCAGTACTTGCAAGTACCTGCCAAATGTGGTAAAACATGGTAAAACCCTGTGTTTTTGTCTACGACTGTTTTCTGTTTTTGGTTCGTGGCTGAAATTCCAAACCTAGGCCAGCACAGAGTTTTGCCATTTTCAATAGGACCTTTGGGTTGTCTATGGTGGTCGTAAAAACCATACCCATAAACAACTAAGAAACACCCAAACACAACATACTACATACTACATATACTTATTACATTTAGTCAAGTATTGGCTGTCACCATTCCAATTGTGTTCGAACACATCAGATTTAGCTTAGAAACAACATCGAACATCATCTAATGTCCGGTAAACTAACGTAGCTATGGAAAATTGCCCATAGTTGATTTACACACATTAAAAAAAAAAGTTTTATATAATAACTAAAACTGTTAAATATAACTATATTTATAATATATATATAATAACTATAACTGTTAGATAGATATAATATAGTTATATAAGAGTTTACCGGAGGGTAGCCTCAATAAACGCCAAGGAAAACCCAAATCATCCAGGCACAAATCATCCGCAAGGCATCCCAAATGGCCCGAGAAATTCCACCCGGCGTCATCACCAACCTGCCGAGTCAGTTGGATGTTGGGGAAACCATTAACAGCTAAACGTAAAGGTACCCTGACCTGTTTAGGTAAAAAGGTAAGAATTAAACAAGATCAAACAGGTAATTATATGCAATTACAAGGATGGTATGTCCGAAATAACAAAGATGGTGTGTCTGAAATGGTGTGTCTGAAATGATAAGGATTGCATGTCTGATATGATAAGGATGGTATGTCCGATATGATAAGGATGGTATGTCCGATATGATAAGGATGGTATGTCAGATATAATAAGGATGGTATGTCCGATATGATAAGGATGGTATGCCAGATATGATGAGGATGGTGTGTCTGATATGATGAGGATGGTATGTATGATACGACAAGGATGGTATATCTGATGTGATAAGGATAGTATGTCTGATATGATAAGGACGGTATGTCTGATAAGGATGGAGGTCAGATATAATAAGGATGGTATGTCTGATATGATAAGGATGGTATGTCTGATATGATAAGGATGGTATGCCAGATATGATGAGGATGGTGTGTCTGATATGATAAGGATGGTATGTCTGATATGATGAGGATGGTATGTATGATATGATAAGGATGGAGGTCAGATATAATAAGGATGGTATGTCTGATATGATAAGGATGGTACGTCTGATATGATAAGGATGGTATGCCAGATATGATGAGGATGGTGTGTCTGATATGATAAGGATGGTATGTCTGATATGATAAGGATGGTATGTCTGATATTATAAGGATGGTATGTCAGATATATTAAGGATGGTATGCCAGATATGATGAGGATGGTATGTCAGATATGGTAAGGATGGTATGTCTGATATGATATTGATGGTACGTCTGCTATGATAAGGATGGTATGTCTGATATTATAAGGATGGTATGTCTGATATGGTAAGGATGGTATGTTCGATATTATAAGGATCGTATGTCTGATATGATAAGGATGGTATGTCTGATATAATAAGGATGGTATGTCTGATATAATAAGGATGGTATGTCTGATATAATAAGGATGGTATGTCTGATATGATAAGGATGGTATGTCCGATATGATGAGGATGGTATGTCTGATATGATGAGGATGGTATGTATGATACGACAAGGATGGTATATCTGATGTGATAAGGATAGTATGTCTGATATGATAAGGATGGTATGCCAAATATGATAAGGACGGTATGTCTGATATGATAAGGATGGTATGCCTGGTATGATAAGGATGGTATGTCTGATTTAATAAGGATGGAATGTCTGATATAATAAGAATGGTATGTCTGATATGATAAGGATGGTATGTCAGATATAGTAAGGGTGGTATGTCTGATATGATAAGGATGGTATGTCAGATATAATAAGGATGGTATGTATTATATTGTATGACATGATAAGGATGGTATCATTATGTCAAATATTATAAGGATGGTATGTCTGATATGATAAGGATGGTATGTCATATATTGTAAGGATGGTATGTCTTATATGATAAGGATGGTATGTCCGATAGGATAAGGATGGTATGTCTGATATGATAAGGATGGTATGTCAGATATAATAAGGATGGTATGTCTGATATGATAAGGGTGGTATGCCAGATATGATGAGGATGGTGTGTCTGATATGATAAGGATGGTATGTCTGGTATGATAAGGATTGTATGTCTGATATGATAAGGATGGTATGCCAAATATGATAAGGATGGTATGTCAAATATGACAAGGATGGTATGTCAGCTATGAAAAGGATGGTATGTCTGATATGAAAAGGATGGTATGTCAGATATGATGAGGATGGTATGTCAGATATTATAAGGATGGCATGTCAGATATGATATGGATGGTATGTCTGATATGATAAGGATGGTATGCCAGATATGATAAGGATGCTATGTCTGATATGATAAGGATGGTATGTCTGATATGATAAGGATGGTATGTCAGATATAATAAGGATGGTATGTCTGATATGATAAGGATGGTATGTCTGATATAATAAGGATGGTATGTCTGGTATAATAAGGATGGTATGTCTGATATGATAAGGATGGTATGTCTGATATGATAAGGATGGTATGTCAGATATAATAGGGATGGTATGTCTGATATGATAAGGATGGTATGTCAGATATAATAGGGATGGTATGTCAGATATAATAGGGATGGTATGTCTGATATGATAAGGATGGTATGTCAGATATGATGAGGATGGTGTGTCTGATATGATAAGGATGGTATGTCTGATATGATAAGGATGGTATGTCTGATTTAATAAGGATGGAATGTCCGATATACTAAGAATGGTATGTCTGATATGATAAGGATGGTATGTCAGATATAGTAAGGGTGGTATGTCTGATATGATAAGTATGGTATGTCAGATATAATAAGGATGGTATGTCTGATATGATAAGGATGGCATGTCAGATATAATGAGGATGGTATGTCTGATATGATAAGGATAGTATGTCTGATATGATAAGGATGGTATGTCTGAGATGCTTTTGGAACCGTTATTGACTCTGAACCATCCAATCTGTCTATTGGCGCGGACAAGAAACATGTGAAAAAATATGTAGGGTGAATTGTGAAGTAGGGTGTCTCTACTTCGCCCCAACCGACAACCATTCCAAGTTCTGCGAGAATTGCAGGTGATGTTCCATACCCCTTGAGACGCCTGTTTCCTTTTTCGCATCTCCAGTGCCTCTGAAAGTCATCTTTGTTGAACAGTGCCATTACTACCAGTAGTTGGTGGTTCCTCCAGAAAAATTCACTGGTCATTGGGGATCGTCATCCCATTTCCACAATCAAAATATGTAAAAGGTATGTGAAACCATCAGAATACCCATGTGAAACCATCAGAATAACCATCAAAATAACCATCAAAATATGTGAAACCATCAGCAAATCGCCGCCCTATCCCTGCGCAATTGTGGCACAGCAACTTTCCTCCATCGCAGCCCAGCATGGATTTCTGCGTCGTCAACTGAGCCGCCGTGAAGGCTTCAAGTCCGGTGCGACATGGTGATCGAACAGAACCCGCTGTTATGGTTCAAAAATGGGATACTGGTTGGTGGTATAGGTTAGTATAGGTGGTAACCACTAAGTCACTAGTAGTTAGCTAACAGTAGTCTATATGAAATTCCCGACTGAATGAAATTCCCAACTGAATGGAAAGTCATTAAAAAAAAAACATATTCCCAACCAGTAACCACCATCCATGATGTTTCCATTGAAACCTCCATGTAAATCATAAAATGGGACACTCATGGAGCCACAACTTGATGCTCATCCGCCAAACTGTTCATGATTTCTCTGGGATAAAAACCAGGCCAAAAAATCATCATGCGGTGGCTCGTATGGATACCAGTTGTAATCTACCCATATGTTCATGGCTTTTGTACCACAATGAAAATTGCTATTTGGAGGTGAAAAATCAAAAAAAAATGAGACACAGAATTCCATTGGATCTGGCCGAATTATGAATCGCTCATCTGAAAAAATAGCTGAAATGTTCGGCCATTCCTGGGACGATTCCCTAAAAACAATATCCATCATTCGACGGAAAACAATGAGGTCATTCTAATTCATCAAGATTCAATCCCACAGGATCCTACATTCCTGTTTTCCCAAGCTCAATCACCACCAAGGTGCACTGAGTTCCATGATTTTGGAACCTCGAGTCCGCAAGGCGCCATCTGCAGAGATCCTGAGGAGTTCGCCAGGTGGTCGCCAGTGGTCGCTGTGCCATAAAAATACACAAAATAACCAACTCAAATCATGTCAATGCTTCAGGGTATATCATATATCTCAAAATTCTATGAAATTCTCAAATCATATTGGCCATTTCTTCTATTAAAAATGGCGAACTGTTCATCGAATCATCCGTGGAGCCACTGAGCTCAAGGAGATGGTCTCCGGCTAAAAGCTGGATTAATCACGGCTGCTCGCAAGTGTCATCATAGTGTCCCATGAAAACGATCCTATATAATTTATGTGTAACTATAGTTATTGTATATAAGTATGTAATTATAGTTACACATAAATAACATATTATGTAATTATAAGTTATACCAAAGGGTATATATAATTATATAGACTCATACGTTTATACCCTCTGGTAAACTAACATAGCGATGGAAATCATGTTTAGCATGTAAATGATCTATAAATCTCCCATTTTCCAGAACTATGTCAGTTTACTGGAGGGTAAGCCATCAATCAACCACTCAGGTCTATCAAACAAAATCGTCGCCAAAGGCTCTTCCTCTGACTCGCTCGCGAATTAAATGCCATCACCAAATTGAAGCACGGCCGAGGCCTTTTGCGAAACAGGATGAGATGATGACCACAGGGATCTTTGCCATTAGAACATCCAATTGCCGGTACTTGCGGGTACCGTACTGTCTATCCATCCCCATATTGCGTCAACAATGTCGACAATAAATCTGTGCGTGTATATATATATATGGTGGTTTCCATAAATGGGAGTACCCCCAAATGGTCGGTTTATAGGGGAAAAACCCTATGAAAATTGATGATTTGGGGGAACCCCCATTTTAGGAAAGCCTCATATATGCATATATCACTGATATCACTGATATCACTTGGAAGCGATAATCCGCACAATTGGAGCCTAAGGAACACATCTGTGGAGCCAGGTCTGTCTGAAAATTGACAGATGGGAATCCGCCATGGAATCAGACAGAGACCAAGCAGGGCAAATCTGGGGATCCACCCTGAGAAGCGCAAGAAGGAGCTATTCACCTACTGGAAAAAGATGGAAAATGTGAATCGATTCCAATTTTTTAGATGGTTCAAACATGTTCAAACCATATATTTTCATGGAGAAACGATCACATGTCCTCGGAAAGTCAGGGATTTCAAGTGGTTTGAGTCCGTCCATTGAGTTTCCCATCCCAGCAGTGACAAGTCCCTAAAGTGGAACAAAAAATGTTACGTGTTCTGCTCAAGCTGCTTACTCAGACCCCCGTAACCGGAAACATCTCCCTATCTTCCCAAAAGAAGGGCCAACATGGAGATTTCACTTCCATATGTTTTCAAAATATCTTCCAAAAACGAAAAAAAACATGATTTGGGCGTGCGAAACGCAATGAGAAAACCCCGGCAGATCGGTCACCATCCTGTTCCCTTGCGACATGGCCATAAAATTGAGCTCAGTTCGTTGGAGGGGAAACACACCTGGCCAAGTGGCTGGAAAATGTTCTCGGCTGCCTCCGACTCTGCGAATTTGCCTTCGATGATCAGAAAATAGGTCGAAAACTGGACACCCCAAAATGCCATAGCTTCTCATCATCTTGCCCCTTTGATTCAAAATGGCCACAACTGTGGCTATACATGGCTATACTTCATTTTCAGACACACCCAAATAGATCTAAATATATCTAAATAGTAGTTCTGGATGGTCATTTCCGTTTTCAATATAATGGCAGGCTGGTCACAAAGTGCTTAAACTGTGATACTAAATAGGAACTATCAGGAACCTCCATTCGAAATCGTGAAAGAACTGATTTTAAAACCCCCGAACATGTAGAAATATCGTGGTTTTGAGGCATCCCCATATCAAGGCTAGCAATGTCCATTCCATGGAAAAAAAAACACACCTCCACAAGCCCTGGTAATGGACGGATCTCCAGCTTTGGTGGATGCTGGGGCGGTTATGATCTTTTTTTTCTAGAAGGTGGGGCCCCCCAGTGATGTTTGTTGGTTGAAATAACCACATGAAAACTATAGTTATTTGCGTACCATAAACCATAGTGAAATTGGAGTTATTGGCACCAACTGAACGCTATCTTGGGGGCACCACCTTGTAGAGTAGGATTCATCAAGATACGAACCACCAAACCTGATTTCCACTTGGATCAACTGGTTTTTATAGACCCTGGTGGCAAGGCCTTCAAATTGTCAAAGTGGGATTATCAATGTAGACTGTACTGGTGTACAACAACTGCCTAGTGCCAAGAAAACGCAAGAGTAAAATCCGACTCAAAAAAAAGATGGTAAACTGCCTCTCTTTCTCCTTGCGGCTTAGTGTAATAATCGGATACAATTGGGCTGTGGATAAATCAAACTTCGGCAGTTTAGGGATACCCTCTGGTAATGACTGTTACATAGCTATTGAAAATGGCCATTCATAGTGGATTTTCCCATTAATAGCATGGTGATTTTCCATAGTTATTTGTAAACGTTTACCAGAGGGTTACCCTTATCCTATCCATAATCGTCGTGAGGCTCAATCACCGTCACAGTTGCTATAGATACTTCAATCATTTTCAATCACCGTCACAGTCGTGTTCGAAGGGTCATCCAATCTCCCAACCAAGCTGCTGCTTTCTTCTGTATTCTGACTCAAATGGCTCCCACTGGCGTGACTTGCATCGAGTTTAACCTAGCAAAAAGAAACAGGCCTGAACTATTGACATAGGGGATTCGTTGCCCAAAAATGGAAATTTACTGATTTCACATAATTTAATCCAAACTAATTATAGTTCACCAATGAATGATGGATTTTGATGGATGTTGTTCTCTCTCAAAAATGAGGATTGAAGCAAGTGAAGCAATGAAAACAAGGCTAGTTGCCACCAACCATAATGCATCTTGCGGATTCCTGCGGGATATGTGGATAAAGTAGTTGGATGTAAAACCAGATGATATGGCGTTGTCTCAACAATGGAGGATACCACCATTTTTTACATTTCAATCGTGGGGAAATCTTATGACACAATGAGGTACACAATGGGTGCCAGGCGGTGCCCAAATTGGGAGACATACCCAACAGATTTGGGTAAGACAACAGAAGCAGGCTTTGACAGGGAATGATAAACCCGTTGTAGTTGGGTATCACTGGTTAAAACATACTCTAAAAACTGCAAAATCCATCAACAACCATAAAAATCCATCAACATCCAAAAACATCCATTCAGATCCATCAACATCCATCAAAATGTATCAACATCTGAAAATCCATGAAAATCCATCAACATCCATTCGAACCCATCAACATCCATCAAAATGCATCAACATCCATCAACATCCATTCAAATCCACCAAAATCCATCAACATCCATTCAAATCCATCAAATCCATCAACATCCATCAAAATGTATCAACATCTGAAAATCCATGAAAATCTATCAGCATCCATTCGAATCCATCAACATCCATCAACATCCATCAAAATGCATCAACATCCATCAACATCCATGAACATTCATCAACATCCATGAACATCCATGAACATCCATTCAAACCCATCAAAATCCATCAGCATCCATTCAAATCCATCAAAATTCATCAACATCCAACGAAAATCCATCATCATCCATTCAAATCCATCAACATCCATTCAAATCCATCAACATCCATCAAAATGTATCAACATCCATCAACATCCATCAAAATGCATCAACATCCATCAACATCCATTCAAATCCACGAAAATCCATCATCATCCATTCAAATCCACCAAAATCCATCAACATCCATTCAAATCCATCAAAAATCATCAACATCCATGAAAATCCATCATCATCCATTCAAACCCATAAACATCCATGCAAATCCATCAACATCCATCAAAATGTATCAACATCTGAAAATCCTATATTCCAATGGTCAACATACCATTCCCCAGCCGCCCCTTTGTGCTCCTCTCAAGAAACAGTTGAGATGCACAACGCGGATCTACACAGATTCATTGGATATTTCATATATCATAGGGACATAATATAATCATAGGGATATACAGTAATATCCAATAAGGATATTTTTGGGGGGACGTTATAGGGATATAATTCAATATAGGGACATCCAGGTTGTATATGTATTGGGGACATAAGGATATAATTTCATAGGGATATAACAATCATATCTTTGGTATACCATCTGGCAATTAGTTACAGTTTGCGAATCGAAAAATCACACTTTTTGAAATCGTAAACCATCGGACTAAATGGGCCATGGCTTCCATGGCCATGTCAAATTACCGGAGGGTATGGAAATGTTGGCTAATTTTTGGGGTTCACAACACCATCCCAATGCACCAAGCATTGGCTGAATGGATTTTACCCTCGACACTCCGATCAAAGGGGCGATAATTTGGTACCCGTTTTGAGGGTCCTGGTAGCGTCTCAGAGTTTGAGTCATTTCACAAGCCCCATTTCACCATTTGTTTTTTCTCTATTTCTTTTAACCTGACACCGGGATCGGATTATTCGAATACAAAATCGCTCAGAACTCCCAGAATCCGTCCCCCGAGCAAATGGCATTCGGTTGGCCAATCCCTTTTCTTGTTGCTAAGAAATGGCACGTCATCCCAGGACTCATAGACCCAGGTTGATAAATCAATCGGCGAACCTCCAACAAGCGATCTGGTCTGAAAATCTATATAAGCCCATCTAAATTGGGCCAACAAGGGGCCCTTTAAAGCAGCCCAGTGGATCCAAGTCCATCCAAAGACTGTGACCAAACACCCTGAAAAACCATCTGGACCTGTTAAATTCAGAAATTACTCCTGTAGATTTCTGTAGTCATTGGTAAATCCCTGTGTTTCATCCCTTTGTTTCATGATTAGATCACTTACAGCGCCCTGAGAGTCCCCCCCATCCAGGTTCGCGAAACTGAAGGCAGGGTCGCGTTCCTTGGTCATGAAGTCGCCACTGGAGGGCTGCCAAATTGGTATGTCATAGTGGCATATATGGTTTGGCCATTAATATATCGTATCTATAAGGATTGTCTATATTACTATATTGCCACTATAGTTGACTACAGTATCTATATGTATCTATAGTATCTATGAATTTTGACTGAATATAGTAACGAAAAGTATCCTGAATCTAGGTCACGTGTCTATTTGGAGGTCTAGTTGGTCTAGACAAACATGCAAAATGAAACGGGGGGGGTGTCTGCAAATTAATTATAGGGAGAAACACCCAAATCCCATGGTATATCATTTATTTTACGGAAACTCACATAAATCCATAGTACACAAAAGTATATCTCGTTCTATATCATTCACTATGTATCCACACTTTTTGTATGAAAACGGCGTGTTCCTAAGGTGCTGCCTCCCAGCAATAAGTTGGTGCCCCTGCAACGACTCTGTGTTATACCGATGTTTTTTTGGGGAAAACGCTACATATATATATGTATATATATCATCTGGTGTAATATTTATATTGTATATATCTAAGTATATATGCACGCAAAATCATCCTCAAGTAGATAGAATGTGGGATGTTCAAAAAGATCCCATTTTAGTGATTGTTGTTGAAATGTCCATCTCTTATTGGGATGACTATCTATCTATCTATCTATCCATCCTATCCATCCTATCTAACCTATATATCCTATCTTATCTATCTTTTCTTTTTAATCTATCGTATCTATCGTATCTATCTTATATATCTTATCTATCTTATCTTTTTATCTATCGTATCTATCGTATCTATCTTATCTATCTTATCTATCTATTTATCTATTTTTCTTTCTTATCTATCCTATCCTATCCTATTCTATCCTATCCTATCCTATCCTATCCATCTATACATCCATCCATATCTGTGTATGACGAAAAACAAATACTACACACACACACACATGACAAACGCACATGAGGATCAGTGGAAAAAAAAAAAAGTGGGATCTTTTCGACTCTGGGCAAGTTATAGCACTCACCCACAGAGATAGAAAGGTAATACGTGTATCATCATGTATCCTAGTAAAACATGGGAAAACAATGGAACATTTAACCTTTTCTGTTGTACTTTTCTGCTAAGTACGTGTCTCTCTTTTTGGCTCTTCCATGACATCATGACACCAGACCGGAGCTGGGTAAACCACTTTTTCATCACAATGATTCACCAGGTGAAAATTTCAGTGAAAACCCCAAACTGAAATTCTGAAGTCAATGGTGACAAACTGACATTATAATTCCACTTTGAAATGGTTTACCAAAGTTAAGTTAATAGAAATGAAAAGCCCAAACTGAAATTCTGATCATCATTCCATGTCTATTAAAATTAAGATGTCAAACCAACCAGGCCGTCCTGACCTCGGCCCAGTGGCTTAACCTTCAATTCTTCAATGGGGTCTTTTCCGCTTTCCACGTGGCTCAAGGAAGAAGACAAATATTATTATCAACCAGTTTATTATCATGTTACACTTATTAATGAAGTGAGGAATGCACTTATGACAATTGTACAGTTGATCAGTTAATCCAACATTTTTGGGTAATAAGATGATGTTATTGTGATTGATAAGAATATGTAACGATAATTAATGCAACCTATCAATTTTTACTTGTCTGCAAAAAACAAACAAATCACAATCAGTTTATCAAACAAAATCAGCATGTATACATAGCATATATAATATATAGCATATACCCAAATCAAATGCCCTTAAATGGGGGGAGCTGATCTGGTACACCGAGGGACCGCGATATGACCCTCTCCAGTTTCGCCATGTTTTCGAAGGCAATTTTCCTTGGTGAAACGCAGCAGAAGGATCGATGGGAACTCTGGGGACCGGAATGGGCAATTTGGCACCAAAACAAAACAGGTTTCCCTTGGATTCATGAAACATACAGTAGATGGACAAAGTATTCAAACCCCTATCCATGAGTTATAGGCCACCCCCTACCTCCCCCGAATTTCAATGTTATGGTTTCGAAACGCTGTTCCTGCTCTGGGGGTTTGATTTATTTCGTCCATTCGAAGGAACGAACCAAACAAGAAAATAACATTGATATTTTGGGTGCGGGGGGTTGCTGTATGTATAAGGGTTTGAATAATTCGTCCATCTACTGTACGGGGCGCGGTGGTCAGCAGGAGTGTATAGCGAATGGTAAGCGTCACTTTTGGATCGACATTAGCACATATTGTATGAAGATTTGAATTAGGTGACAGACGTGCAGTGACGTGCATTGAACATTTTGAATTTGACTGTATGACTGCTTTACAAGGATGACAGGAGTCGCTTTTGCTCAAAGGGCAGCAACTTGCCAAAAGCGCTCAAGGACTGCCAATCTCCACGGCTGAGTTCAACGACATCCACAGCTCCAAGAGACAACAATTCTTCGGCCAATGCTGCAGCCTTGACCTGCGGCAGCTTTGCCTTCGCAGCCAACTCATCCATTCCCTCCAGCACCTTGGTGCCTTGGTGTAATGAAAATGGAAGGCTGGGGGCATTCAAGGCTGCTGCTGCGTCATGCTCCATGGCACCATCACGAATCCACTTGCTGAAGCATATGGCGCAAGGAGATGTTGCCCGCAGAGCCGAGATGGTTTCTGTGCAGGTGAAAATCAACAGCCTGCTTTTCATATGTTTGATGTCCTCTTCGTCCACGCCAGGGAGCGGTTTCCAGAGGTCTTTGGCCTTGCCTGTCAGAACACAGCCCCGGTCTGCGTTCCCATCGTTGAAAGCTTGGGACATTTGCACCTCAAAGGGCTGGCCCTGGAACAAACTCAGAAAAGTGATCACAGGCACAGTTCTCTGGTCATACTCAACTGGACGGAAGTCGTCCCAAAAGAGGAACGTCTTCTCCTTGAGTAGGTTGCGCAGGGCAAAGCTCGACCCGAGCGCAGGTTTGTGGAACACATGCGCAAAGCCATACAACTCATCAAAGGGAAGGACCAGGGTCGACTTCCCAGAGTTGGTAGGACCAACAATCATTGGCACTCCGGTCGTCTTTGCTGGGCCTGTCACCAGGATGTTCCTGAGAGCTACAGCAAGTTCAGCACGAGACAAAGACATGGAATTGGCTGCAAAGAATGCTGCGGCTGCCTGGTTATAGGAGCAAGCATGACCGTGGGGGCAATCTTTGTCTGCAGTGGCACAAAGTGTTGACCATTCACTTTGGCGTTCTGCTGCAGCTGGTTGCCTGGCTTCGCCCCATTGCATTGCCTCAGCCACAAAATCCTTGAGGTATCGCTGCCGCTGGTGGACGAAAAGCTGCATTTGCTCTGTGCCATGATCTCGGACATACTCCATGACTGCAGCTTGGGTGGTCAAACCTTGGCTCATGATGAGGGCAGTCAAGTCCAATTTGTTGAAGTCATCCACTTTGCTGCTGGCACATGCCTGGGCGAACATGGCGGTCACAGAAGTCAATGCGCTCACAGCAGCTGAAGGCCAAGAGAGAAAAGTTGTGCCATCACGCATCGCGAGGCGGCCCCATCCGCGAGGCGGCCCCATCCAGAAGTGCCTCAAAGCAACTCCAGTACGTGGAGGAGCTTTGCGCCACGCTCAGCTGAAGATGAAGAGAGAAAAGTTGTGCCATCGGCAGGAATCCACAGGTTTTGTATGGTCAGTGGCAAGTATATGGAAGTAGCGAAGATATTAAGGGTGGGCCTTATCATCCACCTTTATGGCATTGTCACTGGGTTTGCATTTTTTTCAGACATGCGGTGACATTGTTTGACAAAAAACTTGTACATGCACTGTGTCGCAGACAGGAAGAAGATACAAGGTGGGCCTTATCATCCACCTTTATGGCGTTGTCACTGGGGTTACTTTTTGAGACATGTGGTGACATTTAAAAAGACACCACCACCACCACCACCACCACCACCACCATCACCACCACCACCACAGCAACAACAACAACAACAACAAGTAGGTGGGCCTTCTCATCCACCTTTATGGCGTTGTCACTGGGCATGCTTTTTCAGACAAGTGGTGACATGTGATGACACTTGTTCAAGCAATGTCTGAGTTCTTGGGATCAGATGCGAAAAAAATGCAAAAAGAGGAGGAAAAATGAACGCTTGAGACAGTAGATGGACAAAGTATTCAAACCCCTATCCATGAGTTATAGGCCACCCCCTACCTCCCCCGAATTTCAATGTTATGGTTTCGAAACGCTGTTCCTGCTCTGGGGGTTTGATTTATTTCGTCCATTCGAAGGAGCGAACCAAACAAGAAATAACATTGATATTTGGGGTGCGGGGGTTGCTGTATGTATAAGGGTTTGAATAATTCGTCCATCTACGGTAGGGATCCCAAGATTTTTCTTCTTACCTGGATCACTCTTAAAAAAACGATGACACATGTAACAAATATCACGTCGGATTTGAGACCATGGGAAAACCACATCAACCATCACAAGTTTGGTCGTTCTTAGGTCGCGATTGAGAATCCATAGCAATTAAATATCAAAGAATGGGTTGGACTCTCCATCTTAGAATAAGTTTCTCCATTGAACTTCTCACTCCTACAATACCCCATTGAATGCTTAGAGTCCTGCTAATATTGAGAAGCAAACAATGCTGGGTGCAACAAAACCATGAACACAAACAGGAGCAATGCCAGCAAAGTGGCATATCCAGTTGCCCATTTAGGCCAATCCAAGCCCTCAAGAAAGACAAAAAACTTCAAAATTGTGGGATCCATAAACGATGTGGAGGCTACTTTCTCACGGGTATACCCAATTTCATCATGAATCATATGTCATAAACTTGGGGATATTTTATGGCAGTGCCGATCCCACATTATCCATTTTCAGACCAACCTGATTGCTAAGTGATCATGCAAATTAAATAATACACACCTCCAAATAGCTCAGTTCTACCTCATGATGGGTTCATGATTGTACCTGGGTACTTCAAAATTATCAATCTCGCTGTGTCTCCCTATGTCTTGTCAGGGCATTAAAATGGTTGTGAGTCAAAACACTGGCACCCAGATGGTACCCTAAAATAGCTGGTATAGCTGGATGTTTATTCCCCCAAATATAGTAATGTAGTAATTGTTTGACGGGGGTGGGAGATGTGGATCCCTTAAAGTATATATATATAATTATGCATAATTAGCGAGTCCACATCATCCCCTTCGTGGTTTAAAAGGTTTGGGATGCTGGGTCCGTCCTCGTTTTGCCCTGCCCTCGTTTTGATGGATTTTGATCCATCCCCACATGGAAAATCACCAAACTCAGCCAGGCCTCCTATCCTCCTGATACCGATCTTCCAGGAATTGTCTCACTGACGTGCTCCCCTTGGCACGTTCCGCCAGTTCCACCGCGGCGGCGGGACCTGAGAAACTCATGGACACTGACCTGTAACAGGATGGAAAAGAATGGGAAGCTAAGGATGGAGAACTACACCCAGTGGGGAAAGTCAGTGCAACGTCTGTTGAAAACAAATCACAATGGGATGCTGCGCATTCAGGAAGTCACAGAAGTCAGTGCAAAATTATGCAAATCAGCATGGGACGCTGTGCGCCAGCAATCATCTATTGTTCGGTGTTTTTTTTATGGCTCTAAAATTAGGAATCATATTGTGGACGCTGCATCTATATCATCTATGCAGCCATTGTTTCGCGTAACCGCCAGAATCACCAGAAATTGGTTTCTTCAATGGGATTTACTGGGCTTTCATGGGATCTAAGCAGCACAAACTGGGATAAAAATCATGGGAGGGGTGCCTTGTTTTGATTGGAATTAATCATGAAACAATAACGAGTTAATGGGATCTAATGAGATTTAACCATGGGAAATAGGAAAATACAAACCTTATGTGATATATACAATATATATATATATATTATATTGGTTTATATAGGATAGGTAATGGGTTCCAGTGGATTTCGCGCCAAGAAAGTGGTGTTTTTTTGCGATCAAGCAAATGGAAAATTTTGGGATCGGATCGCACCAACAATAATAGGGATCTAAAATCATGGAATAGTTGATCTGGTTGGTGGTTTTAACCATCTTGAACAATATGGAAGTCAATGGGAAGGATTATATGAAATGGAAAATAATCCAAATGTTCCAAACCACCAACCAAATTTGATATAATATAATATAACCGACAATGTGGGCCCATGTGGTTGGAATCACCCGAAACGCCAGTGGGGAATGCTGGTAGGGTTATTGGCGGAATTCTGCGATTTATAGAGGTTCCTAAGCAATCCACACCACTCACCCAAACCACCAGGTAACCACTGGCTGAATGGAACGAATAAAACAATTTGAAGGAGAAATAAAGATATACAATGGTGAGATTTAAGATCATTCAACCCCTATTATTCTGGATTTCAGAACGCAATCAAAAAGAGATGTCACCAAAAAATCTGGATGCTTCGCCTAACTGATAGGGATTGGCGTGACTGGAACCAGGGTCGCTTGCTGATCACTGGTTTGGATTGTCTCAAACTGGTGATTTAACCAACAAGAAATGGGAACTTGACCAATGAATAATCGTTTTCTCAAAAAGAGTTTGTGGTATACCTGGCATACCTTGCCGCTTTGGGGAAAATGATGGGACAAACCCAGGGTCCCTGGCTCTGTCACATGCAATCACCAGGGAAACCACAAGGCATGTGAGACCAAAAAACAACGAAAAGGAGTAGTTGATTGTAAATCTCATCCAGAAACTAGCAAATCAATGCATTGAAAAAAACCTGTCAGCATGGCTAATCTTGGATACCCTGCAAAAATAAATAGCTAAATAGGTAATGGTTTGTATGCAAACATATAATTACTTGCTCTTCAACTACCCAGCAGCAGTTGGTCTACCCAGTGATCATGCGGGATGTTTTGCTGGATCCACGTTCAACCTCAAACCCAGTGGGTTTTAAATCTGTAGTTTCTGACAATCTTTGGTATTCTTTCAAGATGTAAGATTCTCTGAGTTCCATTGATCAATTCGGGCTGCCTTTCATCATTTTTTCTCATTTTTCAATCATCCAACATCTATCAACATCTCCCCCCCACTCTGGACCCAGTGGCTGCCAGGCATATGTTGCCCAATATCCGAAGAGAGAACCCTGAGTCGTTGCTGGGGTGACCCTTTGCTACCCATTGCCATTGCTCCGGACTTGTTTAAAGGGGAGCTTGTCCATGTTAAAATGTTCACCACCGGCTGGACATCAATCAACCGGGTTCCTTGATTCACATCACCAAGCCTCAAAGTTCATGGTTTCAAGCCTCTTGAACTCTTGAAAATAAAAACTATACAGGATCATCATCTCAGGGATAAAGTCTGTCATGTTTTGCACTTTTCTTGGAAACAATAGTTTACTTCGTGTGATCCCCACCATGACATTTATACATTTTGTTACTGGCAAATCTTCTGGCATTCTATCTGGCAAACCTTCTGGAATTCTATCTGGCATATCTTCTGGCATTCTATCTGACATATCTTCTGGCATTCTATCTGGCATTCTATCTGGCATAGCTTCTGGCATTCTACCTGGCATATCTTCTGGCAGATGTTCTGGCATATCTTCTGGCATTCCATCTGGCATTCTATCTGGCATATCTTTTGGCATTCTATCTGGCCGTTGAGGTCCAGCGGTGCGCACTGAGCTGGGAAGGTCCCAGGTTGAGGTCCAGCGGTGCGCACTGAGCTGGGAAGGTCCCAGGTTGAGGTCCAGCAGTGCGCACTGAGCTCGGAAGTTGGCGAAGAGCTTGGCGACGAGTTGGCAAGGCGGAAGTGGAGGTGGAAGTTGATGCAGATATGGTCGAGGAGAAACTGGAGGAGGCGGAGGATGAGGAGAAGGAGGAGGAGGCGGAGGAGGACAACAGCTCTGATAAAATCCAACAACCCTCACCTGGCAGGTGGCGAAAAACAGTGAAATGTCCATTTCAGGGTATCTACCATTTCTGGACACACTCATAGTATTCAATGTTTGGCAAAATCCATCAAAATCGGCCAACAAAATTATCCGATCTTTGTTGGTGATTGTCCCATAAATTCTTCAATCCCCTTGGACTGGCTGGGTTTTTGTTGCTGACCATCACATAACAACCGCCACTTTTTTAGCCGAATCGCCGCTCGTTGAAATCCACGCTGAGTTGACGACCTGGGCCACCTGACGTTGTCAAAGCTATAACAAACGTGGTGAATCCTGGCAAACCTATAGTTGTGGTTGGAAGGTTAGTGGTATTGGATGGTATTGGGATATAGAATGGGTAATGAAATAACCAATAATCATACTGGACCCATGTTCAACTCCAATTCGTTGGATTCAGATGATATTCCCCAACATGGATTTAACCCTACTTGTAGTAGTTGTCGCCCCACTTATATTGGGACATATGTAAAATGTAAATGGGTACAAATCCTGTTTGAGCCTCACATGGGTATTCAATGTTTTGATGATTTGACCATGTTTGATGAAGTTTGGTCAAATGCCATGTGGATCATCGACTGTTTGGGTCTTGTTTTAACGTGACCACTCTTGTGGCTCCTCGCTGCTGAGTTCAAGCTGCCTTGAAAAATGTTGCTGGGTCCATTGGGATCCATTGGTTATAAACATCCCATGTCATCCCAAATAGGCATGGGATTCGAAAGCACCAAGCAGGTGACATCATGGTGGTCAACCCATCCCACTTTCCAAGTCTCAAGTGCTGATTGGACATCTCAACGCAGCGGCAAAACCACCAGCCAGATCATCGGTAATATTCCAACTATATACTATGTAAATTGTATGATAATATATATATATATATATATATATTGTATAATAAATATATACATAAATATATATATATAAAACCATCTGCCACCATGTGCCACTATTGGTCTGACCACAGCCCCAAAACTACTGGGATGGACGACAAGTCGGTGCCTGGTGCGCTGATGTTCCGTGACAATGACATTTGTCGCGGCCCACTGAGCAGCTGCGCCAAGGAGAGACCTTGCGCTTCCAACATCTCTATGGAAATGGATCTATCACAGAGAGTATGCATATATATATATATACAGAAAGCGGAGATACATGTATGTAATGTGTATAACATGGAATATACAGTATGTTTATATAACATGGGATATACAGTATGTTTATATATGTATGAATACGTATGTATATATATATATGCATAAATATAGGTATATGTAAACATTAAGTCTATTTACATATTCATATTATGAATATATATATATATATTCATATTATGAACAGAGAATTTGGGCTCTTAAATCTGATGAACACTCCTGAGCACTGTTCAGCACCTTTTCACTCGGTTAGCTCGAAGGTAGCTAAAAGCACTAAAATGGCTGCAGCACATATACAAACATATGTACTACATGTAACATGGTCTATACTGTACACATATCTGATCACGCCTCCCGAGCCTGTTCGGAGGCACGGTGAGTCCAAGTGTTTTGAACTAGGCGAGTTTTGATATGTACAGCGGAGCATAGCCACGACTCAAGCCATCTATGCCTTCAGTGTCAGGTGATGTTCACCTTCCAGAAAGTGAAAGTTCATATTCCGCAGTGCCTTGTTCATCTTCTCCTCTATGACGGGTTTCGTCAAGACGTCGGCAAGCATATCGCCAGTGTCGACCTTCTTCAGCCGAAAGTAGCGCTTGGCAACGCGGTCTTGTACCCAGTGGTATTGAGTATCCACGTGCTTGGCCTTGCCTAATCCTCTACGTGAACCCATTGCTATTCCTGCACTTGCATCCATGAAAACTTCACTTTCAGGTTGCAAACCCCAGTCTTTGGCGGTTGAAACTTCTCCCAGCAAATTGCTGGCACCGCTCACAAGAGCGTAATACTCACTCTCTCCAGACGAAAGACTAACAACTCCTTGTCCTTTAGAATAAGTCTTGATACAACAACCACCGGCCATCAAGACGCCTCCTGACACGCTCTTCCTCGTCTTCACGCATCCAGCGTGGTCAGCATCAGACCACATCACAAATGGACTGAGTTTATTCTGATGAGGAAAGAATTGTGCCATGCGTGGTCGATACCTAAGGTATCGTGCAACTTTTTTGAGCATAAGCATGTGGCTGGTAGTTGGTCGTTGTAGCCCTTGTGCTAAAGATCTTGTTGCTACTTGCAAATCTGGTCGGCCTTGTGCCAAATAAGCTGCTCGCATTGCAACTGATCTATACTGGGTTGCTTCTTCATTGTTGAGAAAAAACAGCGGCATCCTTAAGATCTTCCACTGATCCTTTGGCAAGTGGTGTCTTGATTTTGGCTCCTCGGGGACCATCTCCGAGTAAATCAATCACCAACTCTGCGTGACGTGCATCTGGTTCCCACCAAATTCCATTCTCCTTCTACGTGATGATTCTGTTCAGGACTCTGATGTCCTGGATGGTGTTTGGTGTTCCTGGTGGTCCTAAAATACCACGTTCCACACATTTCCGCTTCTTTGACAGCTCTTCATGAAGCCATTTGATGTTGTCAAGTGTTCCTGCTGTTGTAAAATCATCTCCATGTACAACAGTTCTGAGGTCTCGGCCTGCATGGTAGTATATGCATGGATTGCTTTTTCCTTGCTTGAAACCTAAGGCCAGCATGACCTTCTGTATCTGCAACTCCCAGTTGAGAGGTGCATCTCTGGTTCCATACAATGACTTGAGCAATCTTCCTACCACATCTTCTCCAGGCTTCTTTGCTTCTGCAGGAAGCTCCACGTAAATCTCGCGCGTCGCATCTGAATAAAAGTGAGCGCGTTTCACATCCAAAAATCCTAGAAGTCTACGCTTGCGATAGGCTTCCTTGACAGCTTTTCCAGCGTCTGGCAACTGAAACGTGACGGCTATTGTAACTAGCATCTTCAAAGCAGACAAACTGGGCATGGCTGCGAAGAACTCATCAAAACCTGAGCCCTTCTTGACTTCTTGAGCTACTAACCTACTTCTATAAAGTGGATTCTCCTCATCCTGCTTGTTGACATCTACCCATCGTGTTCCAATGGTGCGTACCCCTTTGGGCATCTTGTGTCTGGGAATCTTTTCCCAAACCGGAAAACTTTCAATAATTTCGACCTCATCTTTTCTGGCTTGTTCTACACCTTTGCTGTCCAAAATCTTTCCACTGATATCATCATAATAATACCATGTAACTGCTTCATCTTCCAACTCCGGTGGAAGAGGAATTGTTTCTTCGCAAACTGGCTCTTCTTCACCTTCAATGGACTGAAGATACCTCTCCCGATCTTCCATGATCAGGTTCATAAGACATTGGTCTATATCATCCATGTCATCTGGTCTCTCATTCTCAGGTGGCCGTTTGGTGCCCTTAGACGCCTGAGCTGAAGCAGCTCGGCTGTCTTTGGCTTTTGACGTCTCGCCTCCTGAGTCTGCAGGTCTCTTCTGACCTTTGGTTGGTGACATCTCCAACCTCTTGTGTGATCTTTCTTCTTGCTCGCCTCCTGCTCTCTTGGCTGAGGCTGAGCTTGCTCTGGCTTCTACTCCAACTGGAGTAGGATCTCGAACTGCCGGAACACCAGGTCCAGTAGTTGGCAAACTTGGCGCTGATTCCCCTGCGGCAGAATACCACAGCTCAGTGACAATATCTGTGTCATCAATCAACGGTGCGTTGATGACATCTTCTCCTAAATTAGGATCAATTGGTTCAGACTTGATGATGTCTCTTGTCTTGAAATCTCTGGTGACTCTCCACCAGACGTTATCCCAACTGGGACCTTCTGGCATAGTACCCTTGAGATACCTTGCATTCCTGTCAAGGCGCGCAAACACCTTGAAACCTTGAGGGACTCCTTGTGGTCTCTCACTTGAATATCCATAAAGGATCTTTGTGCCTTCCTCGGACACTTCTTGTTTCTGACCAGTGATTTCAGAATCAACCTTGGCCGTATGTTGGGCTACTCTCAGGTTGCCCTCTTCTGCTTGAAGCAGACGTTCCATCCTTTCTCTGCAAGCTGGAGTGTGATGAACTCCAGTGCCTCTCTTGCCAATTCTAGTGGCATCACAGCCGACACAACCAGCTGTGTAGCCATACTTGTCCAAATCACGTTTGGTGATGTAAAGTCGTCTTGTTGACTTCTTTGGTGACTCAACTGGCACTGATGGCGCCAGTGGCTGCTGATCTCCCTCAACAATCTGAGGAAGCAAAATGTCATCTCTTTTTGATGCCTGGGGATCCCAAGGAACCCCAGTGACTGACATCAACGTTTCGACATCATATCTGTCGTCAGCACTCTTGCGTCGAATGCTTTGCACAGTGAAAACACCTGATGCATTCCCCACTATCTTTTCAGTGGTATTGTCTTTGACTCCCAAGAAAACTCCTTGGTGCCATCTTTGTTCAAACTTGTGACCTCTTTTGAGGAATTCAATTGTTTCCCCAATGGTGGTAATGACACTCTCCACTCACGACCACGGTGTCTAGAGTACGGTGTCTTCCCATCTTTGACTTCCAATGATCTGTGAAACAAATTGTAAGTGGTGCTAGCATGTTCAACCAACCATGTCAAAACTGGGTGGTCGTCTGGCACCTTTCTTCCATAGCTTGTCTCCAAGGCACTTCTGAGTGTCCTGGATTGAGATTCAATAGCTTGAACTGCTCTTTCAATTTCCCCTTTGGATTCTGAGACTCCTTTGGGAACTTTTTCCAAAACCAACTGTTTGTCAAAACCATTCTTGGCTGCCTTTGCCTTGCCTCTAATGCAATGTTCACACCAACTCCTAAAAGGATAATGGCTGACAAAATGCTCTTCTTTTTCTCTCTGCGTCGGCGCTGCTGCAGTTGGTAGTGCTTGAGAACCTAGCTTACTACTGCCCGGTTCATCATCTCCACTACCTGCGCTCTCTGTGGTTTCCACAGGACTTACGCCTTCAACCCTTCTATGGGCTGCCGCAGCTGCCCATGAAAATCCATGGCTATCTTGAAGACTCCTCCAGTCATTGTGATTGGTACCTTCTTGGCTCCCCTTTGCAGGAACGATCCTTTGGGGCCGAAGGTCACTGTCCAGCCTTTCTCAACCAGCTTGGACACAGATAGCAATGGCTTTGCCACATCCATTGCCCGGAACTGTCCCACACCTTTGACTTGTGGGCCTCCTTTCTCACCCATTGTCACCATGGGGTTGCATATGCCGTGCACCTGGACTGGTTGTCCTGATGCATTGGTAAACGGCTTCTCATCCACAGGCGTCATAGCCAACTCCAAAGATTGTGCCATCTCCTTGGGTAGGCAACTGGTTGCAGCCCCTGAGTCAACGGTGGCCCAAACAATGGTATCCACCGGAGATGCCAAACTTCCCAGGAAGTCGAGGTTGGAGTCTGATCGAACTCCTCCTCCTGGTGAATGCTCCCTGAGCTTGGGAGATGGTGACTTCTCCTTCTTCTTCCTGACTTTTCTTTCCATAAAGTTGGCAGCTTCACGCATTGCCTTTTCCAAGAATCTCTTGGCACCTGTGCTGAATTTCCCCTCGCCCTTGGACGCCTGGGCTGAATCAGCCCGGCTGTCCTGAGGCGCTCTCGATGGGGATATGGCCTTCAGCTCAATTGGTGCCCTGCTGGGTGACTTGTCATCCTCCTTCTCTAATCTCTCCTTCTCTTCTCTCTTTGCTTCTTTCTCCTTCTCTTTCTCCCCTGGCCTCCTGGGGATCTTCTTCACTTCAGGCTTCACATCATCTTTGCCCTTGTACCTGAAGCGTTCATAGTGCTCCTCAAAGTGCTGCTTGCGCTTCTTCTTTTCTTCATCCTTAGCAATCTCTTGGCGCTTTTTCTCATCTTTGGCTTCTGCATCATCCATGGGGCGCTTCTTGGATGCCTCTCCTTCAGCCTTTGCTTCTCTTTCAGCCTTTGCTTGAAAGTGTTCTTTCTTCCAAAACTCCAGGGCGTGTTGAGGATAGCAATTCTTGCTCTCCACATGTTGCCAAAAGCTTGCAAGACTCATGGAGTTCAGTGCCTTTCCACATGCCTGGCA